CTCCATGTGCTCATACGACGTAGTGTACAGGGCAGCATCATCCGCAAATAGCGACTCCGACACGGATAAGTCTGTGAGTCTGTAGTTGTAGAGGTCGGTTGCACTTTTCTGGGCTCTGACCGAAATGGAAGGATAGCTGCGTTTGCAGCCATGGCTGTGTGATGTCCACCTCAGACCTCAGACCTGCCCATCGCAGAAGCAATGATAGCGAACAGCTATGTTAGACATAGCTGTTAGTGCTGGGATTACACCATTCAACAGCTTGCAAGGCTGATGAATTGACCGCCACTAATTTTAGCCTGGTATCCACCAGACTAGGGCTGAAACGATCATTCAATAACTCCTAACGATCAACCAATATCATTAACGATCGATATATTGATTTTATCGATTCTTGTCGGCTCTACTCGTGTACCTCGCACACCAGTTTATGAAGAAATTCCATGATACCTTTGGTACATTAGAAATTTGTGGCACCGCTCTGTTGACATCTGTGGAAATCTGGCTGGTTTATCAACATGAACTAGAGAATTTCATGTTGTTTCTAGAGCAAAGAATCTTGTCATCACCCTCTGGCAACTGCTCTTATCTCCAACCTCTCACACAAATGAACCAAAAAGACAAAGTCTTCTCTCCCGATCTCTTTCAAAGCCACAAATCAATTTTACCGCGCTTGGAAGTACATGATTGTACTCGTATTCACTATCGGATGAAGTGCAAGGGCTTGAATACTGTCACTGATATGCATTCATAATAAATCGTTAGCACTCGTTTTAAACACTAACGATTATCGATTGCACTCATAACGATCGATATGCGAGTTATCGGTATAATTGTTTCAGCCCTACACCAGACATCTGATTGAAGTGGGTTTTTTCTGCCCAGTGAATCCCTGATTTTTCATTTTTCATTCTTTTTTCTTTTTCGACACACACACACCACATACTACATACTCCGGCATACACTGGTTGTTGGTAACCACCCAGGAGAATGAAAGAAGAGCTAGGAGAAGGAGAAAGAGAAGAAAGACGTGTGCGCCCATAATCGTCGGGAATTGAACCCGCAACCTTTTCGATTGGAAATCGACTGCACATACCACTGCACCATATGGGACACACACTTTCACACCAAGGTTCAACTCGAGTTCAACTCTAGTGACAGGACTGCACCCAAAAAAGGTCAAACAGGCTGTAAGTTGTACCCTGCAGGCACGGTGACCAGGTGACTGGTGTATGCAGGAGCACGTGACCGCTTGTTCAAGCATGTTCGATTGGGAATAAGGGCCGAACGCTGCATCGCAGCCTTTTCGGACCAAAACCAGTCGACTCAGCGTCCAAAAGACTACAACATATGGGCCAATCGCGGTCATCCGTGCTTTTATAAGAACGAAATGGCGCTTTTAGTGACATTTTGCATACAAATCCCCATCTAGTAGGGCGCAGTCACCCAGTTTCGGTGGAAGTGCGCGAGTTCGATTGGGATTAAAGTAGGAAGGGCACGTCTCAGCTTCCTCGGACCAAGACCATTCGACTCAGCACCCCGAAGACTACAACTGGTGGAAATTTGATTTTAGGGTATACTTTTCCTTTAAAACATTTTTCTGTTCTTTTCCCGCAGTGCTTTCCATGATCATGTTGGGCTTTTGCACAGACTCGACTGTAATAATCAATGTGACTGTCCTGAGGTGACATCTCAGTGTGCTGTGTGCTGTTGTTCCTCGCTGTGTGCAGTGTGGACATTCTCATGCATGTTTACTTGTCTGCTTGTCTGTGTCATGAATGATCATAAGTTCATTACCTCCTAGCATGACGTTATTGCGCGCCAAATACGGTTTACCGTGCGCATGCGCGCGCTCGCGCGCGCCAATAATGTTGACAATGCTAAGCTTGCATGCGTGACAAGTGGTTCTAGTAGTTGCAGTTGGGAGAGACATGAGGTTCTTGATGGTTTGATCAAGGTGTTGCCGGTTGGCGGTTTTTGCTCTTTACTCTAACTTTAGTCTAAGCCTTTATCGTAACTATTCATTACAACCCAGAGCCGTGTGTGTTGGCTGGTCTGCCACGAGGTTGTGTGTGGGGGTAGTTGGGAGAGAGAGAGAGAGAGAGAGAGAGTGTGACTATTACACGACTCGTGCTACTCCGAGAGAGTGGAGTAGATCTACTGCCCAAATAGCGATTCTACGGATGCAACAAATTTCGTGATTTGGCCCAAATCCGCAATTTTCTGCAAATAATTCCGCGAATTCCTGGCAAGTTCCGCATCTTTCCGTACTTTTCGCCGCATTTTTCGTTGTTTTTTCCCGCAATTTCTTGCGCAAGTTTTCAAGATTTTTTTCCGCAATTTCCCGCAGGGACAGACAACACCTGGGCGTATCTACTGCCGTGGACATGGAAACCCGGTCGGAGCTCAAGCGGCCCAGGGCGCTGGTCACGCAGCCGTGAGTACGTACACATGTACGATCAACACGTGCACTGCATGCAACCTTCTGTAATGAGGCCTAGCGCCGGCCCCGCGGCATTCGACCGGATTTCCATGTCCACTACAGACGTCGTACTTCGGGACAACAAACGTCCGACCCACGAGTCAAAACTAGCACCGCGTGTCCATTTCCATTACATCATGCATGGTCCATCTGAGGGAGGTGCCGCATACACGGCTTGGCGCTCAGTGCTTTCGGCACGTCGGTCGGATTTCTTTGGCCACGGCTGTAGTAGTACATGACTGTATGTGACAACCGGTGCATCATACTCATAGTCATGCTGGGAGGCTCCTTGGATTACCACCATGCTATTCGCTACAATCAGTGACTCTACAGCTAGTATAGATGATGACAATACTTGTAATTAAACATTTATTTACAGACTCAGTACAGATAGTATGCTCACCATACGACATACGCACGCACTGGTGCAGCCATCCACCGGAGCGTGTCCTCGGTCGTGCATGTGTGGCACATCTACCGGCGGTAGTTCTGTAGACTGTAGGCAGTTTAGCATGTGCCCATGTACTGACATTGTAGACTCTACATACTGTCCGTCTGTCCTGGACATACATGTATACAGTAATACTAATACTATAAAACAGAGAGGTTCCAGGCTGTCCAAGAGAGTGCTCAATACCGAGTGGTAGAGCTGGTTCAAACAATAGGAGGACAGAGGAAGTGTTTTTACTCAGAGTTTCACGCACTAAGCGATCATCAGAAAACAGAAAACTGTTTTCTGATGATCGCTTAGTGCGTGAAACTCTGAGTAAAAACACTTCCTCTGTCCTCCTATTGTTTTAATACTAATACTAAATAGTCATTGACACAATCATCATCTCCGCGGACCACTACATCATGTAACGACGTGACTTGTCCACTTCATCGCAGTATCCAGACGCTAGACGTCAATCACCGAACCAGCGTCCCGAGCTAGCTGTAGCCACAGAACACTTCTTTACCTGTGTACTGCCCCCACCAGCATTCCAAACCCGCTTGCGCAGCCTGTCCGGTGATGATGGCTGCGTTGTCGAGCATCGCCGACATGGACAGTGATCGATACGAGTGCAGCTAGCTTGCACCTCAGTCAGTACTGTAGTGTAGTGTAGGTCTACAACAAGTAAGTATTAGTTACAGTACAGCTACAAGCAGAATATCCACTCAGCAGATCAGAAAAAGTCTGGCAAAAAGCAACGCACGCGAGTAAAACACGTGCAGGTGCCTCCTATGGCTATGCTATACCATGCCTCCTATGCTATACCATGTATACTATAGCCAGATATGGCCCAGTCAGCTGGACTTTTTTTTACCAATGACAAGCCCCGCGATACCTACAGGCTACACAGCTACAGGCTAGGCTACGCTCGAGCGCTCTGAACTTGAGACTGAAGTCTGAAGTCTGATATCTGGCCGGCGTGGATCGACATTCGCCAGCAAGACCATCCAATCATAAGTATGGAATCAAGCAAGAGTACGAGTGTGAGATCGCCTAATCACAGCCCGCCGCGCGAAGCGCGAAGGGCTGTGATGCAGGCTGATCGAGCACGAGTGCGAGTGTTTTGATTGCATTTCTGACATGCACCCACGCTTGAAACTCATATCGAACTTGTAAATACTTCGCGAAGAGCTGTGATTGGCTGATAGAACATGAACACGACTGTTTTGATTGGATTTCTGACAAGAACGTGCACTTCGATCTTCCTATCGTGCTTGAAAGCACGACTCTCAGCCTTCTCGAGCCCGAGTCGAGTAAAAAAAAAGCGAGCTTGATCAGTGAATCAAAGCCCTAGTGGAGCGGGCTTTGATCGTAAAATCAAAGCCCGCCTGGGCGGGCTTTGATGGGAAAATCAAAGCCCGCTCCACTAAATATGGAGTTCTACTTCTTGTAGCATGCTTTGATCGCCTCATCTAGGCCCTGCTAGGTGCAATGCGATTGGTCATCTCCGTGCCTACAGTCTTGTGACATGTCAGAAGTATGGAATCGAGCATGAGTACGAGGACGAAAGTGCGGAATCGGAGCCCGACGCGCGCTAGCGCGGAGGGCTCCGATTCTAGCACTTGAGTCCGAGTACGAATGCTTTGATACCATTTCTGACATGCATTGCACGAACTACTTCGTACTACTAGTACTACTACATGTAGTACTTCACACATACCTAGTACCTACTCAAGGCACGCACACTAGACCAGACAAGGAACACAACTAGTCGCCAGTTTAGTACTTCAGACATGTTACATAATGACTAATGTACACAGTCACAACACAGAGATAAAACAAGGGCGGTCTAGTCAGCTAAAAACCAGGTCAGTTCAGCTTCTCTTCTAAAAAAAAAAGCGGCCTCTGATGGCTGAATCGGAGCACGCCTAGGCGTGCTCCGATTCAATCGGAGCACGCCTGGGCGTGCTCCGATTGGAAAATCGGAGACCTGCAAGCGCTCACAGGTCTTCAGTGGCTGATTCAAAGCACGGCAAGTCGCGCTAGGATTCGCTGTTGCCATGTCGATTGTCATGTGACATGTCAGAATCACTGAATCAGGGCCAGGCGTCAGCTAGCAGATCGATCCACGTTTCTCATTCATTTCGGAGCTGTGGGGCGGCCATGTGGTGACATGGGCATGGGGAATGTAGAGCTTGCAGGACGCTCTAGCCGGTTTGCTGCTGTTGTTGCTGTAACGGATGGCTGAAAAGTAGATGTGAGCCGAGCAGGAGCTATTTTTGGTGCTGTGTCGCCTTCCGTAATAGAAGCGCTGGGTGCAATAGGATCTAGGAGCGCTTCTCAGGCGCCAACAGCAGTAATTCCGTGCGCTGCCGGTCCATGTCGCGGACATGGGAGAGCAATCGCATTCGAGCCGTCACGCGGTGCTCGTTTGTTGGCGGAGGCGCTGAGATGGGGCAGACGTCCCAGGATTATGACGTGGTGGAGGAGATAGGAACAGGTTCCTATGGCATCGTCTACAAAGCCAGGGACCAAGTGTCCGGCTTGGTCGTTGCGCTCAAGCAAATTCGCGTCCAAGGCAGTGCGTCCGGAGTACCTGCTACCACGTTCCGAGAAATCGGCTTGCTGAAGCGCCTGTGCCGACTACGATGTCAACTGGTCGTTAAGTACGTACCCAACAACTGTTTGTTTTCATGAGACGAACATGATGTTTCTGTATGTTGATGGTTACAATTATTGCCAACACACATCGTGCATGCAGCGACAAGATCCACGGTCCACGCGTGCCTTGTTGCAACCTACGTTTTCCGCTGACTAGTGCATGTGTAGGATGCAATGTATATTCCCCCTTCTGAGTCTGTCTAAGTGTCTTGTTCCTCTACTTGATATTGAAGGCAAGGGGAAGACATTGCTGTCCTTTTCGCTATTACGGTATAAACAGATTGGTTTGTCAACGTGCTGGAAACTGCATGACATGAAACGACGTGTCTACGCTGGGTATGAGAGAGATTGCAGTGCAAATGAGCGGTTGAGGAAGAAACCAGTCGGTAGCAGCCGTTAGTACTCATAGTGGTAGTCAGCAATGAAGGCATTATCGGACCGTGACTTGTGAGCAGGGAGTAGCGTTTGGTTGTAAGCAGCTGTGTTGCTATCTCTTCTGCAACTGCTTCCTGGCTTTGTGAAGTGACTGTAAACTCGTATGTTTTATATGGCCGATATGGGCAACGGTGACACGTGTTTGATCAGCTGATCGGCGCCTTTACTTGTCTTTTACTTTTTTTTAGTGTTTTAGTGGGGCTAGCTGGTGCAGTGCCAGTGCCAGTGGTGGGTATGACTGGGTCTGGACTCTGGTCTGGAGTCGTAGTGCTCGGCCACTCAGTGCATGCTACATCATGTACCAAGTGGCATGCCTGTGATGTACAGACAGTGATGTTGAGTTGATGTGATGTACACCGTTGAATGTATTTCAACGTATTTCAACAACATTTTAATAATACTGGTCTGTTGTACCGGATTCTGGTGCCGGGTTCTCGAGGGGGGGGGGGGGGGGGGGGGGGGGGCTTTAGACATTTCGGGCCCATCAGGAGGCGAGGCGCTTACTACAGTGAGGTGCTTATTTTAGTGAGTCAGTTATATGCGGCATGCCTTGAATTGCCAACCAATAAAGTCAATGCGGGTAAATGCCGTAATCAAGTGACCAAGGACACACTATTCATTATGGTATTGTTCAAGGTGACGTTCACTGAACGAGGTATTAACGTAGCAAACAATTCCTTTAGAATGACAGCCTTAAAAGTCTTCATACTTGTTATCCTACCTACTTCAGTATGGACTACTGAATACACCGTGACCCGTGCTCCTCAGGATAGTATCCATGCCGCTGAGCAAGAGCCTTGTGTATTCTCAGAGTACGTAGTCTGATCTATTAAGTGAATTCCTCAACCAACCCCGGCCCTGCCTTGGTCTTGCACTGTCTTCAGGACCGCCGGCGGCAGTTTTAGATTGGTCCGGTCCTAGCATATTATCTGTCATACAGTTTGTGTGTGATAGTGGGTGCACATAACCTCCTCAGCGGCCCGGTAAACATGCGTTGGTGGCCAACTAGTAAAACTATTACTTGGTCCAGTGATAACCTCAGGACCAACCGGACCGGTTCCGGCGGGTCTGGTCTTCTCGGGATTTTTCAACCCTATCCTGACTGAGAAATGAACTTTGTACAGGGTTGTTAGCAGTTTACCTCGGATGTGGTAGAGACGCACTGGTGGGAATTATCTAGTCTACTAATCGAGCATGGCTTAGTATCATAGTTCGCACTGCCCGGCTTACCTCGTTTTCAAGCATGGTCCTTACTCAAGTACAATGGTCTATTACTGATCAGTGGTAACACCGTGACTGTACACGTGTGTAAGTATTGCAACTGCGGATTGTCCCAGTGCATGCAGGTTGCCAGTTGATATGACTTAGTCCGGCTGATCATAGATCAGAATTCGGTATCAAGTCGAGGCAAGGCTATACTATGGTATACCGGTATTCGAGGCAAGGCTAGCTCAGCACGACTCTGGCCTAGGTACGGGCTTCACCGAAATACCTCAAACTCCTTCGTTTCACATGGAGCAAATAAATACTGAGCTTGGACTTTGGCTGGTTAATTGCTTCGAAATTTAGTATAATGTATTTTGAGTTCCTCCGAGGCCGCTTTTCTGACAGTATCAGTATTGGTGCATGTGAACTGTGAAGATGATAGGAAGAAATGCCCCGTACTCGTATGAGCTAGAATAGATAGCAACAATGCCTGCAAGGCCGGGTGTCTCAAGACTGACTGCTCATGGTGATGATTGTGTTCATGACAATGTGCATCACAGTGTGCTCGCTCTGTGTAGCATATGACAATGCGTATCATAGTGTGCTCGCTCTGTGTAGCATATGTTGCCATTTGCAATGGTGCTGCTGATAGTTCCGTTTCTCTGAAAATGATATTTTATCTTTTCAGATTGCTGAATGTGATCACGACACCTCTACCAGAGAATAGCGACATCCAGATCACGCTGGTCTTTGAGCATGTTGAGCAAGACCTGGCATCATTCATTAGCAGTTTCCCACCACCTTGCCTGCCCGACGAGCTCGTAAAGGTATTTTTTCATAAAATTCCAGTGCAGTTTAATATGTGCCTTTCCACGATCCGTGCTATTGTGGAAAACAAACATTCTCACACACACACATGCGCGTGCGTGCACACACACACACACACACACACACACACACACACACACACACACACACACACACACACACACACAAATGTACATGTAATCAGATGGAGTGGACTGCAGTCCGTGGCCCAATTGATTTGTCACGCCTATCTCATACTCTTCGAGTTCAATGGGTTTTTTTCATGTACGGTACTGCTGAATGAAATTCGATCGTGCGAGTCCAGTTTGCTCCCTGCACCATTTCACCATCTCACAATGTTCGCAGGCGTGTAGGGCTGCACAGCGCCCGGCCCGGCGTGACTTTGACTCTTTTGATCGGATCTCATTGAGCAGCACTGCACTTTTAACTGCTACATGGAACTGTGTCGCGGACTGGATTTGTGTTCACACATGCCAGGATGTGCAGGACCCCTCTTCATTTGCTACAGGAGACTGCAGTTGCTTAGCTGCGGTACATGGTATTATACCGAATATACATTGGCATTTGGGAAGACAAGATAACTTAAAATACGTGATGTTGTGTGCTGATCTTGCGGCAGAGCATCGAGTTCAAGATCCTGAAGGGTTTGGACTTCCTGCACTCGAATCGCATTGTGCACCGGGACCTGAAACCGCAGAATGTACTTGTGTCCGACCGTGGCCAGGTGGTGAAGCTGGCTGATTTTGGTCTGTCCCGTATGTACTCGTCCAACTCTGTGCTGACAACAGTGGTGAGTTGGACATGGTGCACGGCACGCACTGTGGGCTATTGTGATATGATACTACATGTATCTGGAACTGGAAATAGAATGCATATTTCCCAGTACGCCCGGCCGTGAGTGGCATTGCTTGGACCTGCGGATGTTAGCAATCACACTGTATGTACAGTCATGTAAGCTGCCACGACTGTGTAACTGTTGCTTGCACACACATACACATATTATCATACACACATAATTATCATGTAGGCTGGCACATGCGGAAATTGTTCACATGTCGTTGGTTGCATACCAATGGCAACGACTGCCAGTGCTACAGTGCATCTTGTGATATGCACTGTTTGGCTGTCAGTCTCACCTATCCGATCTGTCAGTCATGTGTGTCATGGTGACAGGCGTGCCATGACAGTCTCGAACAATTTTCCAGCCAGCACAGTATACAGGATGGGTGTTAATCACAGACATGTGGTTAGCATAGTGCCTTGCCAGTAGCCCAGGGCCGTTGGCCACATTGACCAGCTTGTAACATACAACCTCCTGCACAGACAGGAAACTAAATACTGCCCCCTTGAGCATGCCATTCACCGTGGCAGCCTGCAGTGAGGGTCCTACTCCTTTGCCGCCGCTCCACCTGAGTAACCAGCCACGGGTGGTGTTGAACTCTTAGTACTGAGCATGGGTTGGACTCCACTGGCTAGCTAGTTGAAGGTCAAAGTAATTCCAGTTTATGTCCTCGTTTGTGCTCGACTTGGAGGCTCAACGTAGGAATAAAGACCAATTCACACAGTGCACCATGAGGAGGAGAGATCAGGGCCCTCAGATTTACAGTACTTTGTGTCGCGGCGCTAGACTAGCGATGGATGTTCTTATGTTATTATTCTGTGCTTGTCCATGCAACATTGTACTTGTCCATGCAACATTGTACTTGTCCATGCAACATTGTACTTGTCCGTGCAACATTGTACTTGTCCGTGCAACATTGTACTTGTCCATGCAACATTGTACTTGTCCATGCAACATTGTACTTGTCCATGCAACATATAATACAGGAACACAGTGCATGCAGTGTTACATTTTAAAGAATTTAAGATGCACTCAGAGTGTTCCTAAATCTTTGGCTCCAGCCTAGCACATTCTTTTAAACATTTTGGTGACTGTCTAGCCCGGATGTTCTTTGGCAGCCCGGTGTTACTGAACTGCACTAGACACATGCATCCCCTGTGCCAATGTAGACCTGGTGCGCTTATTGGGCTCCAACTGAGATGGAAGTACGGCATGCTAGTTTCCCGATGCTTACAGGTTGCAAATGCTTCTTTCTTCTGTCTTTCTTTCTTTTTCTGTCTGCTTGTGTTGGCGTGGACAGGTCGTTACTCTGTGGTACCGAGCACCGGAGGTTCTGCTGAATGCAGCCTACGCAACTCCAGTGGACATCTGGAGTGCGGCATGCATCTTTGCCGAGCTAGCCTCGAGAACGTAAGTACACGTACACATAAAAAAACGAATCCTTCCATCTACATTTGTAGTAGGCACCAAAACCAGAACTCATGTGTGTGTTTGCGGCATACTCTCCTATCCTTTTTGAAACAAGTACAATCATGCACATGTACCATTCAAGAAGAAGTTAGTTTTGGGAGATGCAGACAGGGACGCTTCGCTTCCTGCACGATAGACACCTCATGAACGTGCGCGCGCGCGTGTGTGCGTGTGTGTGTGCGTGTGTGTGCTGTGCTGTGTGTAACTAATCTACAGGGCTCTCCTACAGGGCAACACAGAGCTGGAACAGCTGAGAAAGATATTCCGGTGAGTTGCTCTACAATAGCATGGAAGTACCACGTAGCTGATCCGTAGTCTCGTACACTTCTTACACTGAGTCCTGTTGATACATAACCTCCAGGTCCTTGGAAACCCTATGCGCTATCTGGCCAGTCTTGCTAAGTTTGCTCTGATCTCATCTAATCCTTCATCTTTTTTACTGTTTCATCACTTCATAATTCTGCAGGCTTCTGGGAAGTCCAGCAGAGGAGGCTTGGCCGCAGTCATCGTCAATTCCTTGGCGTAGCTTTAGCGGAGAAGCAGGTGTGCCACTCTCCACTGCTGTACCAAACTTGACCGGCAACGGTCAGGATCTGTTGAGGGTCAGTGCCTGATTTCGTTTAGTATGCTGAAGTGTATTTGTTATAAATTTGAGGGAGTTGGGAAGGGAAAATGTAATCGTTGCTGTAGTTAGAGGTAGTGGTGGTGGTGGCGATGGCGGTGTTGACTTGAGCTAAATGCTTATTGCAAGGCTAGCTGCCCCAACGTTTGTAGTGTATGAACATATTGGCCCAGCAAGCAATGGGGTTTGCTGAACACAGAATGTCTTGCGCTAGAAAGACCACATGCCCCTGCTTCGAGGCTAGAGTTGTCTTTGTGCGAAGGATATCTTAGTTTAGTGCAGCGTGTTTGTCATTATTTTCACTTGGCCGTGTCTATTCTTGGTGTTCTTGAACAGGAAATGCTGAGATTCGATCCAACACAGCGAATAACTGCCCAGGACTCTGTGAACCACGTCTACTTTGAGGGAATGTCGCTTCCTTAACCGTGGAGCATAGCACCCCAGCCATGCCTGATGCGAGTCGCTTGTACAGCAACCTTGCTGTGCAGGATGGGCGGCTAGCTTGATCGTTGAGCTGTTGAAATCATACCAGTGCATCTAGCCTCCATGCAGAGTGCTCCTGTGCAGCCTGCTGAGATGCTGTAGTTGTACACATGCCCGTGCACACAGTGGGCATACTCACCTGCATCCCTATGGTGAATCTACAGTGCGAGACATAGCACAGCAGTTTGCTGCCTTCCATAGGGCACAGTGCCCTGGATTGCAGCATGTGACAGCAACACATGCGCAATACATGCGCCCATCGGCAGCAGCAGCTGTTGAGCTGCGACCAAAACTTAACATGCACCAGCATGGGAACTGGCAGCTGCGGCCACACCATTCTCTTCTCTCTCTCTCTCTCTCTCTCACTCTCTCTCTCTCTCTCTCTCTCTCTCTCTCTCTCTCTCTCTCTCTCTCTCTCTCTCTCTCCCTTGCTTTGTATCTCACACTACCTGATCTCTCCCTCTTCTACTCTTCTACTCTTCTACTTGCCAGTTTCTGGCAACCACTGCCCTGTGTAGCTCACACTTGCTATGCATCAACAGATGGGGTGCCGAGAGAGGGCGGTACAATCCCATGCAGCTGCTGAGCCTCCTTGAGTTATTTGAGCTATGACCCACAATGCCACTACTGCCGCTCAGGCTAACCTTGCATTGACAATCTTGAGATCTGAGAGTACAACAATGTGTATCTTATGCGATGGTGTTCAATAGGTTGTGACTTGCATCAATACTCCGAGAAGGAGTACATCGAGGGGTACTTCACACGAGAGAAAGTAAAACTGGGGGTGAAAGTGAATGTTCTCAAAAGGTGCGGGCACAGAATTTTCTAAAGGAATCAAACACAAGCCCAAGATATCTATATCCACCAACCTCTTGTTACCAAAACCCCAGTAAGTCAATAACGTCCTGTATTTACTTTGTTTCGAAAAGACCCACCGTATGGTTGTACGAGAGCCTTTGAAAGTTTGTGGGTGATGCAGCCTACTGTACTAAGAAGTATTAAAGATTGCCATCAATACTATCTCCAGTTCTCCACCCAGTTGATCACATTGATTTCAAATATACAATTCGAAAATCAAATATTCTAGAAGTATGTGAGCCGAATGCTTCGAGTGACCTGCCAAGCAAATACAATCATGTACGAGTAGTCTTTGGAATAGTTTGAGTACTCTTCACCTCGAGTAAAACCTACTTTTGAAGTGGATGAACAGGTCCTACATCACGTGACCACCATAATTATACTGCATTTGCCGGAGTACACAACACCTTTCGACAAAAAGTATTTGGACACCTCAAGTACACGTAATGCCATACACCTCACACCTGAAAGTATTGCGCACATCCAGGATCTACAGTGCAAAATAGTGCATCAATATGCGCACTATATTTCGGCAAACGATGTTATCTTCAATTCTGCAGTGTAAGTACAGGTATAGTGCTGCTCAATGAAATCCAATCTCGCCACTCAAGTTTGCACCCTGCGCCATTTCGCAGTCCAGTGTTCATATGTCCAGACCTGTGCAACGCCCGAGCGTGCTTGACTCACTCGATCGGATTTCATTGAGCAGCACTGTACTGATCACCCATGCCCAGGCCAGGTTAGCACATTTTTTAGGCACAGCAATGGACAGTGAATTCAGAAATACAGCGTTGTCTTCAAAGTCACACGCGCCAGTCAGGTAAGAATGCATTGTATTAGAAGCTGAAGCCGCTAAAGATGATTATACTCGGGAGACCAGCTCCAGGATAAAGGCTAAGACCGTGTTGCTTCGAAAAGCTAGAGACAAACAAAGGCTTCACAAATACATATAGCTGCTACTACTCCCTCTACAAGCACTAGTCAAAACTCATTGTCAATACAGGTAATTGCAAGAGTGCAAAACCGAGCAAGAACAAAAAGAGGATAAATACACCATAAGATAGGGTGATTGGTGGCAATAAGTTATACAAGTACAAAGAAATTGGCTTCTACTTTTGTGGATGTTGGGGAGCGCTTTCATCACGATGCAGGGGCACTGCTGTGATAGCAACATTACTACATTGTACCTTCCCGGCAGGAAAGTAATGGACACTAATCTATTCTGTTCAAGCACATGACATTCAGTGCTATGGTCAGGATTACGATTCGCTTTCCTTTGAAAATATAGAAATCCTCTTTAAAAGGAAGTAGACTAACACAACATGAGCTGCACCAGCATGTACAGTACCATGCGGTCGTTGTCGTCAGCACGGGTGCTATGCCGTTAGTATCTCCACGCCAGTGTCGGTTATGAGGATTGTGTGCTCGAACTGAGCAGCTCTATACAGCGCACACACACACACACAGAAACATACACACAAAATAATAGTATGCATCAAGCACACATGACAACATATTACGCAAAACAAGCGTAGGCAAATCTGCCACGAGTTTGTGATCAGCATCTACTTACAAACTGGTGCACACAATTTGCTCTTGCAACAAACAGACAGCATAATACATGTATCACAAGATACACAAGAGGTACACAAAGGAAAGTAAGGTCTTATTTTGTTGTAACTCAGAGTTTCATAGTCCAACAACCAATCATCAGGCAGTGGAGATTGTCATGGTCAGCATCCAGCTGAACATAGCTCAAGCATGGTTCTTACCGTCCATGATCCATGGTCACCAATGTCCACTTGTCCTTGAGAGTACGGTGATACGGCCAGCCTGTTGTGATGATGGGCTCTGCAGCAAGCAAGTAGCAGGTATACACATGAACGTATACGTACGTGAACACATGCAGCACACCAATGCACACACATACATGCCCCCCCCCCCCCCCTACACACACATGCAATCACACATACTGAACAAAAAAATTCAAAGCATTCAAACACCGCTACATGTTCCAGCCCTGTCACAAAAGACCAGGTATTGTGGGAGAAGTGCAGGCAGCAAGCAACAAGCATGTAGCTACACGTGCATCTAATGCCAAAGCTACGACATACCGATCGTAAACGTCATGCCTGTCTCCATCACGCCAGCTTCTGCAGGGGATCCTGAGGGCAGTCAAAATAAACACACTTCTACTCGGACCACAAACTCACAGCAGAACAGACCAGTACTGGAAGAAAGAGATGTGACACCTCTGCAATGGCTTGCAATTTCATCTTGAAAATAAACGGTGGGACCATACAATATCGCTGGTCAAAATGCAGCTTGGCCTTAGGAAAATAACCCGGGCACAACGCAAAGGCAACATCTTGCAAGTACAACAAAGTACTGTAAGACCAGATATTCTAACGTCAATTAAAGTTAACCATCTCCGCATTTTTGTGGGTTAGCGAGGTGAAATTCTTACGAATTCCATCTCAAAACAGGCAAATGACTTCACAGGTACATATCGTTTCGTACAAAACGACATCGAATGTTAACAAATTTTTTAAATTCGTTAACTCGTTAGAATTAAATGTTCGTTAACATTACTGGTCTTACAGTGTGTGACAACGGGTGCGGGAACAGTATGTGACAACGGGTGTGGGAACCTGGCTTGTCAACAGAACAAGCACTACACAATGGGTTTCTACTTTGCGAGATAGGGCACCGCTGAAACCACAAATACGGTCTTTTCCGGAGTTTTTAAGCCGCACTTTAAATACCAGTCGGTGCGGCTTACACTCCGGAATATATGGTACAGTCAAACCTCGCATAACCGCACACATCTGTTTTCCACAGAAATATCCGGATAGGCGAGGGAACCGGAAAATCGAACACACATACTGTATGTATGCATGGCAAATGCTGTAAATCGGTAACCAACGATTTTCTTCCGGATGGCGAGGGATCCGGATAAAAGAGGACCGGATAAGCGAGGTCTGACGGTGCACAACTACTTGTACTTGTACACATAGCACAGAAGTAACAGAGAAGAACCAGCAGAGCATGGACTCCAGCCACGGGCCTTTACAAACACAGGAGAATCAGCAACACAGTGGAGGGAGGTTCCAGGCATCGGTGCTTACCATGGCAAATGACGGGTGGCATGTGGAAGAATTTACCGATGCCGTGGCCAGTGATGTTTGGCGAAACATTGAACGACGTATCTCGAAGCACAGATCTGCAAGACAAGGATGATAAACAGAATGCCACAAAGAGAAAGGAATGGTTTGCAATGCAACAAACGGAACGACGACTGTAACAGTTTCCGTTCGATTGAGACTGTCCGACCAATCTCCTTAAAAAATATACTGTGCAGGTACAGGATAAGGAGATGTAGTCAGTGGCTACCCAAGCAACAGCTATCCAACTTTGGGTTTCGGACCTTAGAACCTCTTGCCTTGCACTAACTACATGTACACCAAGAACCAAGCAGCAATCCAAAAATGCAAATGCAATGCGCACGCATGTTTCCCGGAACTGAACTTCGGCAGCACAGCTGATCATTGCGGCTGCACGGGACGACCTTCCCGCCACACTGAGGCAAAGAACTATGTATGGAACTAGCCATGAGTGCATGCAACACACCAGCAAGCTGTTAATACGTAGACGTCTAGTCTAGCGCGTGCAAAGATGAATAGCATGAGAACCATACGACACATGAATCATATGAGGCATGTAATGCATACAACACACTGTACAAACAAACCAACAAAAAGCAAACAAAACAAACACACACACACACACACACACACACACACACACACACACACAAACACACACACACACACACACACACACACACACACACACACACACACACACACACACACACACACAAACGTACAGCTGCTGGCAGTCGGGATAGCCGGTGCACTCACCGTACTGACGTGGGTATTACGGAAAAGGACATGCCCGGTGCACAAGATGCAATGGCTGCCTGCGTGCACTCTTCAGCAACCTGAAGCAAACGCGAAGCTTCCTCGTTGACTTCTCCGACCGCAAACGTTGCGCACGTGTCACCATGCATACCATCCAGATAGACCTGTGAGCAAAAGGAACCGGTGAAGACAGAAAGAATACTTATAGCAAGGTATGCGAGAAGACGAGTGATAAAGAGGCAAAGACAACGGAGGAGACAGTGAGTAAAATGGTCGGTCAATCAGCCAAAATATAAACCAGTGATGCAGCAATTGGTGTTTTCTTCGAACGAACATTCCCTCGATTGTTGCTTTGGCAAACGAACGAATACTATTCTCTATTCTTCTGAAGTAGCTCAATCACTTCACTCTATCAGACCCAACAGTCATGTTGTCTACAGATCACGTGCATAGTAAATATCCACTGGTGAAAGAGAAAATTTGACCTAAGAACATGCTTCACAGTTCTCAGAACATGATTTTCTTCCCTCTCGTCCACAACACTACAGAGAGGAGATCATGGTCGGAGCTGCATAATACAGCAACGCAGCACGAATTCTCGAGCAATAGAATATTCGAATAGTCTGTCTGCATTCGAAAATTATTTCTGGTGTCAGTATTCTGGAACATTCCGAACATGCGAATATTCCTTTGCATCACTGGTATAAACACTCTTTCACCTGTAAGGTCTGTGTGCATCAATTGACTTAAAAAGCAGTTTGACACAATGAACATTAACACTGTGTGATGATAGAGGCATGTACAGCAGCAACGGCACACCGGCGCAAGAAGTGCACTGAAGATTTCATCACAGCTCTGGGCGCCTATGAAACGCGACCGATGGCCGTGTTTGGTCAGTACAATTTATCCGGAGACACCCTGCAGTGTGTGTATCCACTGCAATACAGTACAACGAACACCGGTCCGTCCGGGTCGAGACGGTCACAATTCACTAAACTTGCTTTCGACCATGTGAACACAATAATTATAGTGTTGTGGCCATTGAAAGTCGCAGCACAGTGCAGCAAGTTAACACTGGTTGCCAGCAATACAGTACAGCACTTAATTTTCATTTCAGAGTGCACTCTCTATTAAACCCATAGGTAAAACTAAGAGTGCATGGCCAGAGTGCGCAGTTCAAGTGGATTGCTGGCAATTCCTAGATGACATCACTTTAGTCATGCAGCGTGTACTAGCAGGATTCAAGCAGATCTCCTGCTGCACAAGTGCGGCTCAGTTGTACGAATCAGGGAGTAGTAGAATAGACAATTTACTACTCCCTGGTACGAACTATGCCACCTTCCGCCACTTATCTGCACCAACTATGGTGTAATCCAGGAGTTTTACATAACATACATGCCTATGGAAGCTGCAAACTCTGGTTTTCATGTACTCTTGGCAAGCCATCAGACAGCAACAGTTAGCCTCACCGTTATGTCAACCGAGACAATGTCGCCATTCTGAAGAGCACGGCTGCATCAGGACACAAACAGGCATTGTGTGCATGTGAAGAAGAGCTACATGTTTTGCTTACTTTAGTCAGAGTACAATGAACAATGTGGTGAAGATGCAGCGAGTCATAAGGGGCCGTCCAAGGTTTCCAATAGTATTTTCAAACGAAACGTTTTCGTTTGAGGGTGGGTTTTAGGAGTTTCCTTTTGAAAATACGTATTGAATGTACATGGAGAATGCCAAGCTACATTGTATATCTGGGTGTCGAAGATTGACATCAGTATTCTGTTGGAATTCGTTTTACCTGCAGAAAAGGTGGGTGGTGGGAGGGGGCTGAAAAAATATTTAAACAAATTGTTGTGTAAAAGCAATCGGTAGCCCAGGACGGCCCCTAACATGGCCGACATGTAGACTACGGTGGGGGTGAGGAGCACTGGCTCACAACTTTGCTGGACAGCAGGGCTTCTACCAGTGCGGCACTTCGGTTTGCGCACATTGAAATCTAAACAATGCACAAAACTCGACTCTGTTCGGGTTTTTGATTACTACCACCGGCTCCTAGGGAGAAATCAAGAGGAATAATAGGCATGCAGATAGACAGTGAGGGTTTACACTCATGTAACAGGTAAATGGTGAGAGCTACACTCACTTATCTGGTATTCCATGGCACAGGACATTGTTGACAGAGGTGCAGATCGACTTTGGGAATTTTCGGTAGTTGAGCGGAGACGGATATGCGCCGGCTTGCAAGATCATCTCGTGAAGAACAGAGTCAATCTCATCTGTTGTAACTCCTTCCTTTAGCAACACCCAAGCACAAAGCAGAGCAGTGTTCATCTCATCTGTTTTAACTCCTTCCTAAGCAACGCCCAATGAAACCACACAGAATAATAAAAATTGGAACCGTGTTCAACTCTCCTGGTAAGCGGAGGCATCCAACCCATTGACATTCAGTACACGCACGCACACACGCACGCACACACACACACACACACACACACACACACACACACACACACACACACACACACACACACACCCACACACGCACACACACACGCACATAAACACACACACAATGTATATCCTGGGTACATTGCTTGTCAACTGCAGTGATCCATAGAAGCCGGCAGAGTCATTACCGGCCCGAGGCAGTACCAGCATACGTGACCCAAGCCATACACATAGCATATCACAATCAAATCCGAGGCTTTTTGTCCTCACTACTAGCTGATCATACCTTGCACAGCTCACCACCACGAGCCAGCACAGACTTGGCTAGCTGGCACGCACGGCGCATACGCTCCGTCGTGTCGGGCGTCCTGTGAAGCATCGGACGGTCGGCCCTGGCAGGACACGACGTGGTGGCGTACTCGGGCTGGCGAATGGCGTCCGGCACAGTGCGCTGTGGTGAGACCTGAGCAGCGGTGGCAACAGGGTACAGAATGAACACACATGTCTGAGTCTAGCGAAGCTGCTGCAGGCAGCTATCCTGTGCACAACAGCCAGCTCAGCATGAAGGTCAGTTCATTGTTTACATGACCAGTCACATCTATGATCTGTTGTGAACACAGACATGAATTGTTCGACTAACTTACAATAGCCGGGCGGACAACACTGTATGGCCGAGAGCTGGGCCATGACCAAAAGGCCCTTGTTGAAGGCGGCGGGCAGTGATGACGTAGTAGTGGAGCTGTTCCTACATGCTCTGCTGAGCTGCTATAAAACAACAGAAGAGGAAGGAAAGAAGAAAACACCCGGGGTTATTTGAAACTGCAGCACTACTGAAAAAGGACTTTTTTTTTCTACCAAGTAGTTTTCGGGAGACTGGGGCTCGTTCTCTCAGAGCAACGGGAACTTTCTTCATCTCACCCGACTTCTTTTCACTTCGCGGCTCTATTCATAAGCAATGTATTAGTATGCTGGTCTCAGTGAGCAGTCTGGTTACTGTGTGATGCACACACACACCATGAAGTGTCTATGATGGCCGCTGTACATCATATACTACTAGTAGTGCATGAACCGTCCACCGAGTTCAACATAATATCATATTATGACGAACTCAGGAAAATCCAAAACTCAGAACACAGTATATGGTACACCTTGTGATGCATCATAAATCTCTCACAATGCAACCTTGCAGCTTTGTTACCCAAAAGCGCACACTGAAAGTACTAGTACCGTAAAATCCCGCCAGAGCGCCCCGTCTCTCCCATCCGCCCCTCCCTGACTTCTTATCAGGGAAGTGATTGATTCAATGATTGTACCCTCGTACGACTCTGTGATGCCGTACTGTACTGCACTCAGTCTGCAGACGCGTGCCCGACCCCGTTGGAAATGTACGCAACAGTGCCCACCCTCTTGACCAGGGATCGCACAAACCCTGAGTTTTGACGGGTCTGTACTACTCCTGGCTCTTGACCTTTGGTCGGTGTGCGAGATGCACGAACAGTTTTCGTAGGGGGAGTATTTTTCATGTAGTACTGAATGCGGCAAGTAGGACTCGCCCATCCGCCCCTCCCCACCTGAAGCGTCGAGGAGGTAGGGGCGCTCTGGCGGGATTTTACGGTACTTGCATTCATGTACAGGTTAGGTCCGGATAATACACTCTATCGGATAATAAAGCTTTCCAGCCCCTATTGGATGTGATTGCATGCACTCTCCTGGAAAGACAGGGGCGCTGTGTTCGAACCCTGCTCGTGGATCCTTCTTTTGCAACAGTAGTAAAAAATACTACAGACGGATGCCCGGATACGAGAGATCCACATATTTAAATGTAATGGATCCAGGAGGGTCTAGTGTGCAGTTTGGTTTGAATATTTATTATTTGCATTCAAAATAATGTGTGCCCGAGCGCTCTGCAACCAGCGAGATCTCTCCTACTAGTACCCCCGCTTCTACTGTAAAACGGTTAATTTTAGCGCCGGTGATATTTTAGTGATTTTAGCGAAGGGGTGTTTTCGCTAAAGTTTTGCCACGCCAATGGAAACTTTGCATGCACATAACAGTACGGTGGGCATCATTTTTTTACTCTGAAACCCTGATCGCTCAAATATTTCGGATGGAGAGCCCAGGATAAATTTATAGAAAAGAAAAAGGACCAAGGAACTACACGTTACGCTATACTGTCCACTAACACCACCAGTTACTAAACAATCAGGTCATGCGATAACATTGCACGACACTGACCGACGGTACTGACGTTCTACAACTAACTGGCTAACAGCTCTAGCACACCTTGGATGCGCACTCCAACAGCCTTCCAACTTGGAAGGTTCTAAGTTATATGATAACATAAGAGGGGAACTTCCCAACCGAAGGTGAGCGCAACCAAGACAAGCACGAGCTGAAAGTTTCAGCTGTGAAGGACGTTGGCGGATGTTCATGCATGTGGATGACGAAACTGGCAAGACCATTGGACAATACGGTCAAACCACGATTCAAGGATGCAAAGCAACATTCCACACAGTACTGTGCTGTTTTACTAAGGCGTTCGGTTTTGCATGATTCTTGTTCGGTTTTGCATGATTCTTGTTCGGTTTTGCATGATTCTTGTTCGGTTTTGCATGATTCTTGTTCGGTTTTGCATGATTCTTGTTCGGTTTTGCATGATTCTTGTTCGGTTTTGCATGATTCTTGTTCGGTTTTGCATGATTCTTGTTCGGTTTTGCATGATTCTTGTTCGGTTTTGCATGATTCTTGTTCGGTTTTGCATGATTCTTGTTCGGTTTTGCATGATTCTTGTTCGGTTTTGCATGATTCTTGTTCGGTTTTGCATGATTCTTGTTCGGTTTTGCATGATTCTTGTTCGGTTTTGCATGATTCTTGTTCGGTTTTGCATGATTCTTGTTCGGTTTTGCATGATTCTTGTTCGGTTTTGCATGATTCTTGTTCGCATAGCTTCCCCTTTTATTGATCGTCGCATCTTTGAGCCACACAAGTTGTGTGGAATGTTGCTTTGCATCCTTGAATCGTGGTTTGACCGTATTGTCCAATGGTCTTGCCAGCTTCGTCATCGACATGCATGAACATCCGCCAACGTCCTCCACAGCACAGACTTTCAGCTCGTGCTTGTCTTGGTTGCGCTCACCTTCCCCTCTTATGTTATCATATAACTTAGAACCTTCCAAGTTGGAGGGCTGTTGGAGTGCGCATCCAAGATGTGCTAGAGCTGTTAGCCAGTTAGTTGTAGAACGTCAGTACCGTCGGTCAGTGTCGTGCAATGTTATCGCATGAGCTGATTGTTTAGTAACTGGTGGTCTTAGTGGACATTATAGCGTAACTTGTAGTTCCTTGGTCCTTTTTCTTTGCTATCTCTTAATTTGCTAAATCCTATATATAGGATTTTGGTCATATTTTTCAACTCAAAATGGGTGTGGCATGAGAATAGCAAAAAGTATGTGACCAATTCTTCCTTGCTAGGTCTTAGTAGATATCGAGAGTTGAATAAGATAATTTTTTCAAACACTAACATCTCAGGCTCATCTCCTTGCCCAATATTACTAAGGCCTGTGCCCTATTTTTCGAATCCTATATATAGGATTTGAGATTTTATTGGACCTTGTTTTATCCTAAAAACTGGTAGTTTCATGACGGTATGTGCGATATGTCGTCATGAAACCATCCTGTGCCACACCTGCAATGTTCTTTTGCACATTCACTGCTTCAGTCCTTTCCATGACAGCAGCTGAACAATTATGCTCAAATTTCCAATTATTGCTGAAAATGGGTATTCATCAGAAATATTATCGCCCTATGAATCTACATTCATGCCTCAAACATATACAACTTCCATGAAAACCATTATGTCGTTATTTAATGGTCGTGATGACCAATAACAACGGCATAAAAGGCACACATTTTCAAATCCTATATATAGGATTTTTGGCCAGCAAATTAAGAGATAATATTTCATCGAGAATTTGTCCAGATTCAGAAAACGCTAAAAATGTTACCCGCTAAAATTAGCCGTTCTGCAGTACAGGTGGAATCCTGATAATTCGAATATGGTTTAATTCGAACATACTGCTTGATTAGAAGTTTTTCTAAGACCGATTTCTATCAATACGATTCCCACATAAAAAGTTCTGATAATTCGAACCCCGAACTGGATATGTCCGGTTAATTAGAAGTCCCACAGATTCCACTTACATAGAAAATGTGTGGGATTTGTGCTGATAATTCGAAGTTAGCAAAGTGTAATTCGAAGTTCACTGTATATTGTACTGGTCAGTTCAGTTTGCATGAGCAGGCTGTGCCAGTTCAGTATCCGTGAAATCACTGTCCAAAAGATCCATAGCGCAACTCTGTGTGACCCGGAGAGCATTTTGGCATACATATTGTGTTGTCAGTTCATGTTTGGATAATTAGAATGTCCGGATAATTAGAAGTTGTTTCCTGGCATTTTGAAGTTCGAATTATCAGGATTCCACCGATACAAATTATAGTTGATTTGTTCCAGTCACGGCACAATCTACTTTCTGGGTGCGCAAACTTCAGTTCAAACTTTTTTTGTAAGATTTTTGATTTGATTATTGATTGATTGCTCGTATTTTATCACATGTGCACAGTAAGTGTAGCTTAGTAAGGGTGCATGAACCGGGTTATGCGCTGTATACAGTTTACTTGTGCCAGGGAGATTGAGTGTACAAGTAAGTACTGTATCTGTATTTTGTTTACAGTTCTGCTCTCGTAAAAAACTGATAGAATGTCGAAGCATGTCTCTTACCAACACAGTGACGTAACAGGTGCACTACGCAAACACCGTCCCAAGGAATAAGACATGTCCAAGATATGAATGGAAAGCAAGTTCCTACCACACACTACATCCACAATCAATCTCAATGAACACAGAACAGTCTTCAGCCCTCATGGCATGCAAGTAATTGGCCACCATAAATATCTTCAGCACAAACTGACACCTCGATGAAGATTATGACTATGAGAAGCACAAAATTTTGAACCACCTTATCACCATAGGCTTGGTCACGTTGGTGCGGCACGTGGATCATCGCGTGCATGCACACCGTGTGGCGTGTGCAATACTGTGCATGCTGCATGATGCACGCGATGCGATTAGATGGGTCGACCGCGTATACCGGTCATCTGGTCATCATGGTCATGGTGATTCCCGCACGATCGCGGCATGCACCAACTCCGTCCGAGATCTAGGCGCAAGCGCTATCTGCTCAGTGAGTCAGTACACTAATCAGGGAGTAGCACTGAAACCTGAACAAAGCAAAGTCCCAAAGATGGAAACGGAATTTCTCTGTTGATTGTGTGAGAGTGTTGTGTAAAAGGTTGTGTTCTGCGAAAGTAGCGTTGACTCTGAGTTTGGGAGTTGGTTCAAGTAATAGTTGTTTACTTCATACTAGTTGATTTGTCGAGAGACAAGACAGTCGCAGCGCGAATTAATTCACCACCTGGTGTTTATACCTAGCGGTGGTGCATCACCGAGCTAGCTGAACAGTGACTTGTACTCGTGCGCACGTTTGCGTGGTTGCTGTACTCATCGGGCAACCTCATCCGTCATCGTTCCGGCGGGGTGTGGAATCGAGAAGTGGAGCTGAGTACGCTGGCCCCCACTGCCCCAGCAGCCCAGGCCGTAAGATTCCGAGGAGCAGAGGCCTATATCAACAACAAGACCAAAGAGGTGCGGGTAAAATCGCCAACCAAGAGAAACATTGGCATTTCAGTGTGGAACTGTGCTGGCGCATAGTGTGGCGGTTTGTCCTGCAAACGAGTACCACGATAGCAACTCTGGCCATCTTGGATGTGCGCAGGTTAGAAGTTAGTTAGCTAGCAAGCGGGACAGCGAAGATGACGCGGGTAAGTGAGCTCAGGGCCAAGCGAGGCCAAGCGCTAGGCACTAGCTCCTGGTAGCTTGAACGAACGTTTTCTGGTAAATGTGACTTGATTCTGTGTGCTAGTGTTATGTCCACCGCAGTTCAGTACTATACTGTAGCAGTAGTGTTGTATATCTGCCACGAACAAAATCTTACTTATTACAATATTAGTATTCCGAGAGCACAGCATCGTCGATAAGTGGAACCAGAGTGGGAACGGGGATTCCGATTAGTGCACGCTGGATTCTCAAGTACATGTACACTCAGTACATTGTGTAATCAGTCCTTTGGAATTTGAGGGAGTTGAAAGAGAATATTGTATTGTTCTTATAGAACTGTTATAGAAACAGCGCAAGGAAGAAGAGCTAAAATAACAACGAAGAATGGGTGTCACATACACATAGAAGTAAATGGGCTTGCGCTGTTTCTGAAGTACAAATCCACCCGTCCGTGCCAGCTTCCCAGATTCCTTGACCATATGCTGGGGGTCAAGCATGACTAACTGTCCTGCTTGCTCAAGGACTTTAACTTTAAAAGTAATAGTTGTTGGCCGTCTTTTTCTTGTTGTTGTTGTTGTTTGCTGACAGGACACTGTGGTATTGGTGCGTGATCCGATTACGCGCGAAGATGGCGGAAAGCACACAGACTATGAAATTTACGTTAGGGTAAGTTGCATAGTGGCAACCGCACATTGTCTTATGGCACCAGTCTGTAATAAGCGTATGAGTTTATTCCGATTATTATTCTCCATCGAGGAGCGAATGGAAAAGACAAAAACAAACAAACAAAAAACAAACAAACGGAAGCAGCATGCTCAATGCCGCAGTCTGCCAGCCCATTGAATTTATGTTGCTCTACTAGGGTTCAGTCATACTGGTAGTACAGTGTATATCTTTGTTGCGCGCACAGCGGCCAGTGAAATGCGGAATCATCCTCGGGTATAGCACCCGGTGCAGTGGAGCCGAGAGCACGTGTGCCAGAGTTTGGTGAGAACATTGCGGCTTTGTAGGGAGCCGCGGAAACCCAGGCCCGGAATCAGCTTAGCTCTGGTGCCTTACAGCAGAACCGCAAGGTTGCGACTCGCGAGTTCACACCCACCCGACTTCCGGAAAAAAGAGGTTCTTTCGAGTCGTGCACCTGCCGTCGAGCTAGTGTGCCGGAGAAGGCCCGCGGCGGCCGGTGGGTTTCACCGAAGTATAATAGGAGTGCTGTGGTGATCATTGTTACTGCATGATGGATGATTCTGTACTCAGTCAGTGGCCCGGACTGCTGCTGTGGAAACACCCGTGTGGACTACAGGCTGAGCAGCATTGTTGGAAAGTGGCCCGGGAATGCATGGACACGTCCACTTCAGCGCCGCACTTGTGTATTTGTGTAGTGTAAAGCTAGTGTAAGTGAATTCTATGTTTGAAAGTAATGCCAGCAGTCAGTGCAGTAAGTTTACGAAGGGTGATCAAGTGATGTGGCAATTATGAACTGAATCAGCCGCCAGTGGGATTGTACTGTTGATTCCCGTGCTGTGACACCAGCGCAATGTTTATAGTGATTGTTACTTTTTATGTCAAAGATGAAATGGTTGCGATGGCCAATTAGTTTTCTTATCAGTATTCTATATTTGACGGAGTGTCACTATGTGGAGCTGTCATACCTTGAATAGGAGGGAGTGTGCAGGGAAAGGAACATGTCATCATCATCTGTTTAGATCTGAGCATGCAACGGGATCCCTTTGCTAGTTCACTGGAGCGGGGAGGAAAGTCTTTTGCCTTTCAATCTCTTACAAAAGCAGCCGAGAGTATTGCAAAAGGAAAGGGCACTTAATTTTGCAATCACGTTTTTTAGGTCAAGGGTGTTGCCTGCATCTCGTGATGCTGGTATGAAACTGGTATTGGACTTGTCCAGCGTTGTGATATCGTGATATGTCACCATACAGACCATGTTGCATGCACGCACAGGGCTAGAAGTGCAAGGACAGTGTAGCTGGTCTGAATTGCTGAGTGATGACATGACATGTCACTGGAGGTGATATCCAGCTCTAGACTCTGTGCATGCCAAGACTGGGAGTGGGACTGGGGAGTGACTGCACACTACCATGCAGCTCTAGCATTGCCGGCATCCTGGTCATGTGCTGTCCAGCTGACTTGCCTAGGTCACACAATTATTACTGTGATGTCCATGCAAGGCATGCATACATGCACGTGCCAATGCAATGGGCTGCCGGTTCAGTGGCACTGGGTACATGCCTGCAGTCTGCATCCTCAGGTTGTACTACTGCCTGTGGTGACAGGCGCATACAATGTGTGCATGTGGAGTGCGCAGTCTGTGGTGACAGGCGCATACAATGTGTGCATGTAGAGTGTGCGGCCAGTAAGTTGAGTAACTGTATGTTGTGCATGCATTCCAACTCCAAGACATCCTTGCTCACCTCGAAATCAAGCCGCATTCTTCCCATGCCTCCAATACCCTGCCATGCATGCATTCCGTGCCTCCAAGACATCCTTACACCTACATTACAGCACAGGGCATTCAGGGTGCTGATTTGTCTATGGCCTGAATGGTTTTGATGAGTCAGGGAGCCCACGTGTTGACAGCCTCTAGGCAGCTCAGGACAAAAGTGCATGGTGCTGCTGTGAACACTGAGTGTGAGACCTGACACATAGGGGAATTGTCCCCGGCACACTGTAGACTGTATTTTAAACTAAGAACTCTAGGACAGTGAGTGGCAAGTAAGTGGTGAGTTTGACGCCAATGCCGGATTCCATTGTAGTGCCGATGTTTTCCATCCCGCTCATGGAGCAATGCCAGCACTATTCACTGGATGTGTATACGTTTGTTCCATTGTTCCAAGTGCTGGATTTACGGTTCACTTACTGCCTAGGATGTATATGCGTGCAACAACATGCGGAATGCACCGAGTTTCGACTATTAACTGAGGTTTACATTGACAGCTCTTTACATTTGATTATGTGTGAGTGTGATTTATGACTCTGCCTCAATGCTCCTGTACACTTTGTTTTGTCAAATACCTGGATCGCGGTGTTGCCCACACTTTTTGGCCGACTTCCAGAAAGTTGTGAATGACCGTTCCAGTATTTGCACTGGGTGCAGATACGATTGTGACCAATGTGTGACGTTGATCTTTCTTCCTCTGGTTTAGACTACAAATATCCAGTTCAACTCCGCAGAATCCTGCGTCAGGCGGAGGTTCCGAGAGTTTGTGTGGCTTCGTCAGCAGCTTGCAACAGCTGGAATGTAAGCAAGTGTTGTGCCATTGTAGACAAGCGGACTTCATTCCATGCTCACTAAATTCCATTTTGAAGTACAATGGGCCGTTATGGCTGTTGCCGGACTGTGAATATGAATTGTGCTCTTGTGGTTCTGGATAGCCATGGGCTCTGCACATAGAGTACATGGGGTGCTGCCTAGTAATAACTCAGCGTGATATCCTGCCGTGGTTGCATCTGACTATCTAGTGACTTTTGTGTTATGGTCCAGTGGACTAGCAATTATCTCGAGTCGTTACTCTGAGTTTCATGCACTGATACATGCATCGGGAGACTACTGCGTAGCTACGGCGGGTGCTGGCTTTATTTGCACCTGCTGCACGTATTCCTGGCACAACGGTTAAAAAGAAGAAGTTTGAATTGCCACCCTTCGGCTAAACCCACAGGTGGCATGCACAAAGAGATGACCAGGCGCGTAGCTGGTCCCCCTTTCAGGGGTGTGCGCGGCCGCATATGTGCAGGATGGCTGGTGCATGCCATTCACTTGACGGCCATTATGTCCATACTGCACCTAGGGCAAAACATTTAGGGGGGGGGGGGGTACAAATGCCCCCGTGCCCCATGCAGGCTACGTACCTGGAGATGGTTGTAATAGGTACCAAGTACTAGGTAGTTTGTCTCCATCCCACTGCTTTTCAACTACTACAGTAGTACAGTAATATGTGTGCTGTAGTTACAGTTGCCATGACTCCCCATATCCGAGCATGCCGGGACCGGGCGCTCCCTGCAACTCCGAATACACAATACTGATGTCATGCAAGTCAACATGCTAGAATGCCAGTCAATATTATTTCGGTGCCATTGTCGTTGAAAGATCATGTGACTCAACAGGTGTCAGAAAGGCGCCTGGTATATTGTAGTGCCCCTGATCCGGGGTGTCCGGATTAGAGGACTCGTGTTTCTGTACAACAAACACCATGTCCAGCTGTTTGATTGAACTACTGTTGCATGCTATTCTGCCTTGGTGTGTTTGAATTATCGTGGTACAGAAAAAACCTTCCAGATCTGCCACCTAAGAAGATACTTGATCGGTTTGAGGAAGACTTCGTGGAGTTTAGACGGCAAGGCCTTCAGAGATTCCTGAAAGAGTAAGGCATCATTCACTTGTGCTGCTAAGAGGATGACATGTTTCCAGTGTACACTGTAGTCTGCTGCTGCTGCATATATCCACTATTGTGATGTTTATGGCTCCCGTACACCTATGTCCGTCGTGTACGATACCCGCTTTTCTTATACATTTCCTGTTGTGTTTGACCTTTGTACCGTCTGGGTTGATTGACTGCCATTACCTCTCGTCTCCTTCTGGCTTGGCTTGTCTTTCTTGTCTTCTTGTCTGCACTCGACATTATTTATTATCCTGGCGCTCCGACTTGAACTCGGACACTGAGCCAGTAATAAATGCAACAAAAGAGAAGAAACACATGAGAACGAGTTATGCAGCAACTATCCACGACTGTCACAAGACTGTGCCCTATTATCGCACTTTCTGACTGTTTATCATCCTGTTATAGTCGTGGATAGTTGCCGCACAACTCGTTCTCCTGTATTTCTTCTCCTTTGTTCCTACTTGAATGAACTATTACATTAGCGAAGAAGATGGGACTATCAGTTTGGTTTTGGCGGATTTTAGCCCCACTGTAGGTCCGTGAGATGTGGCTTGAAGTTCGATTTTCTACTCGTTCGATATCATGAACATTTTAGTGCCGGGTGCTGCACAGCCCCAGCACCACTACAATGAGGAACAGTGTTCTGTGCAGTCGCAACGCGGGCCCCATTCCTTATTATTCATTCATTAGGTCAAATTCCACTTGCCAGAACTGTATGAGTCAAAGTACATGCATGTACTCGATGCAACATACCAATAGTGCCGCCTAGCAGTTCGCTGTTGATAACTTATGCCAATCTTGTTGTCCATATATTGTACAGATTGGTGACCATGCCAGCTGTCATGCCAGAGAGGAGCTTTCACATGTTCCTGCAGACTAGTCACAGTACGAGCGACATCGCGTCTATGCTCAATCCCACGACGTCACCTACCCCGTCAACGCCTGACTACACCTGGTCACCGCAAGTATTCGTGGTCAAGGATCCATTGTAAGTACAGTTGGAATTCTGATCATTCAAATACGGCTCAGTTATTCGTATCTAGCCGCTTGATCAGAAGCTTCTTCCAGGACCGATTTCAATCGATACAATTCCCACATAGATATGCCTGAAAATTTGAACTTTGAAAGTCCAAAGAGATCCACTTGCATGCACATCGGAAAATGTGTGGGATCCCTGCTGATAATGTAAAATTAGCAAGGCATGATTTGAAGTTCAATGAGCAGGCTGTACTGACCAGTTCAGTATCTGCGACATCTGTGCGCAGGGTGCATAGCGCAATTATGCGTGACAATGCGAGCATGTTGACATACATACTGTGTTGTGGGTACATGTTTGGATAATTAGAATGTCCGCGTATAATTATAAGTCTTCCTGGGCATTTTTGGGGTTCGAATCACCAGGACTTCCACCTGAACTATATTAAAGCGAACACTGAATAATTAGCAGGTTCACAGGGACCGATTCACATGCGCTGCGTGCACATCTACCGAGTAGCTGTGCCTCGTGTCACAACTATAGGCATAATGCGATTGGTTTCTGACTACAGGTCAGACCTCGCTATAACGACCCCCGCTATAACATAAACCTCACTATAACGTACGGAATGTGGATGTCCCTGCCGAAACCGCATCACTTCTGTACAAAATTTTCTCGCTATAACATAATCCGCTATAGCGTAATTTTCGCTATAACGCACTGTTTGCTGGGTCCCCGGCGCACAGAGACCTCAGCATAACGTAAAAAGTCGTATAAAAATGACTTACGTACACGGCATGCATTTGCGCATCGGAGCTTCAAGCTTCGATATAACAGTGTATTGCCTATGACGTCATAAATATCCAACCGGAACTTCACAGCATGAAAAAATAAAATCACGCAACCACATCACTACAGTTGCCTTTTTTATTTCCGCTCGATACGAAGTGATTTAGAAAATCTGAGCTCTTCTTCTCGCGATTAGAGATGGATGAAAACTCAATCCGGCAAGCTGTTTCATCAGCCGTTATGGATCTCCTTGCTCCGATCAATGATCGTCTATGTGCTTTGGAAGCGACAGCGGAATGTAGAAGGGATCTGGCCAGGGGCCAGTCCTCGCAGTCCAATGGATCGGAGCCAAAACTTTCCAGGTTGAGTGCAGGCACTCAACCCCGGGAAATCGCCAGTTCCTTGGGCATGCCCAAGTCTGGTTTGTCAGGTGGAAGTTTGTTGCTTCCACCTAGCTCCTCGAGTGGGCAGGCCTGCTCGAGTGATGCTGATTTGAACGACACCACGAGTGGGCAGGTACCCTCGTGTGTGGACGTGAGCACGGACGACCCGGAGCATGCTCCGGTGTCCTCAGATATAAAACAGTTCCTTCAGACTCGCTTCAGGAAGCCCTTGAAGGGCAAGGAGCGCAGGGACCTAGTAGAGCAGTTTTCCCGACCAGAGGTGGACGTGGCGGTCACACCTAAACTAGACCATGAGGTGCTGAATTTACCTGGTGTAAGGCAGTCATTCAAGAGGTCGCGAGACAACATGTTGTACTCGCTACAGAGCAGCGTATTGGATTGTTTGGGTCCTCTCTCTGCCCTGATGATGGAGGCCAAGGCAGCGCAGGACGCTGGTGCAGGCCTAGACCCGCAAGCTGTATTGGACATGGTTCCGGCTGGCTTGTCTCTGCTGGGCAATGCCAACAGTAAGCTCTCGGTGCTGAGGCGCCAGGAGTTCCTAGAGCATCTAGATAAGAGCCTGGTACCCATGGCGGAGGAGCCATTTGATAAAGCGGGCACGGCCCTGTTCGGCCCGGAACTATTGGAGCGCATCCAGTCCAAGGCAGAGTCCCAGGAGGCGCTGGGCTTGGTTGTGAAACAATACAAGGACGCTCGAGCTCCTCCGCAGTCGAGCGACAGCAAGTCTGGCTCTGGAGGGGCGTCAGCGGGTGAACGCCAGTTTTTCCGAGGTACTGGGGTCAGCAGGTACGGCGGTGGCTCCCGGTACGAGCCTTACACCAGCCCGTACAACCAGACTCAATATAGCCAAGCCGGTCGTGGCTATGCTAACCGAAGCCGGATGCTTCCCCCACCAGAGCAACAGGACGGTCACGGACCGGACACCAGCTACTCAGCATAGCGGCAGTGTGGATATTAGTGCCAGAGGAGGTCTGGACTGGCGGATGCGGTTCATCGTATTGGCTCAAGACTGGGCTTTGCCTCTCTAGCAGGTGTGTTTCGCGCCTTTTCCAGTACCGGAGCTCTGCTCGGTACAGCATGTGTGTTGGCGTAGGTTTCGCGCTCCGCATCGTGGCGTACGGCGGACAGCACGTAGCCGTCCCTCTTAGGGTCATTCCGGGGGGCCTGGCATCAGCGGCAGCAGCCACTTACAGTGCAGCCGTTCTCAGCTCCGGGGTTTGGGCTATAGCCTGACCTGCTGCTATCAGGACACTTAGGTGCCTGTCCCGTGACTAGAATGTTATCCATGCATGGGAATGAATATGTTTATCCCACGTGTGTTTATGTGTCGTGTGCGCTTTGAAGTATACACTGTTATATCGAAGCTTGAAGCTCCGATGCGCAATTTCCCATTTCGCTAGCAATGGTACATTGTGACGGGAAGTGGGAGTTGTGCTAGGAGCTGAGAGCGAGATATAACAGTGTCCCACCCGCCCTCCCATTATGGGTTGGTGGATATTTTGGGAATGATTCATTTTTTCCTGTCACATATCCGTAGTCTCGCTTCACTAAAAAAGGCAACTGTAGTGATGTGGTTGCGGGATTTTATTTTTTCATGCTGTGAAGTTCCGGTTGGATATTTATGATGTCATAGGCAATACACTGTTATATCTCGCTCTCAGCTCCTAGCACAACTCCCACTTCCCGTCACAATGTACCATTGCTAGCGAAATGGGAAAATGCGCATGACGACTTCGAGGCTAACCTGTCCACCTTGGAAGCAGAGAGTAGTAAAATACCGGTATTTTACTACCGGTATTTTACTACTCCATGCTCGGAATCAATACCTTGAGCCTCCTACGGACAGAAGTTGTGTCACGCGTGGTCAGGTCAGCCAGCTGCTCAGAGTGCCGTTCCTACCTGGTCTCTCAGGCCGTAGCTCTATCGCCTTTGTTGGGGGTACCACATGGAACTCTCTCCCTGCTGATATTCGCGCTTGCGACGTACGCCACACGTTTCAAGCATTGCTGTCTGGCTATGACCTTATCTCCCTCTTCAACTAGGTCTCCGATGTTGTGCCTACTATGTCTTCTTCACAGATTCTGCCTGAACAGATGCTCATCAATTATGTTCTTGTCCTCTATCCTAGTCCAAATCCTGCCTTGCCCATGCATGACTCTCATGAAATGCCCGTACTAAATAGTCTATAGAACAAGAATATTTGATATCATACTTCTCTCATCAACTATGATAATACCCATTTCATACCCCCACCCCTTCATAAAATTAATAACTACTGTTTTCTTTCCTTTCCTTTCATCTTCTTTTCCGTTCCTTTTTCTTCATACACATTTTAAACATTTTCATCATATTGTGAGAGCCGTGGGCCAATAGCCCCGGTGAGAAGGCAGTCTTGCCTGTTCATATGGTGAAGTAAAATAAAGAAACAACAACAACTACACGTCTAAGTACAAGTCAACTGCACCTGAAACAAGGCGTCATGCTGTAGATAGAAACGGCTCTAATCCGATGATGTCACATACCGTAAAATTCCGTAAATAAGCCAACCCTAAATAACGCCCATGTCCAATAATAAGCCCAGTTTTAGGCGGTGTACACTTCAAGTCCGTTTTAGCGCCCATGCCCGAAATAAGCCCAGGGCGTAAAGTGGACAAGTGGTTTACCTATCAAATCTGTAATTTATCGCTACATTCTTGGTTACGACCAAATTTCCAGCTGTGGTTTGATGTACCTGTACTGCGCTCAGTGTGAATGGTGGTTCACTGAAACTAGTGGGTTGCTGATAGATTGATCTTCTGCAGATTGCGTCCGAAATAACGCCCATGCCCAAATATACGCCCGGGTTTTGACGCTCTGCAAAGTATACGCCCGGGGCTTATTAACGGAATTTTACGGTAGATCTACACGTACACGCACTGCATGGCTCTTGTCACCCCTTTGCTGACAAGCCTGTACACATCTTTGCTAGTTTACATCATCACACCTGTATGTCAAAAACAGTACAGTAACTGAGTTGGAATCAGTAAGTGAAGAGCCTCATTTTGACATACATATTGCATATTGGTGTGCCCAACTCACTACATTATAACATAAACCTCGCTATAACATAATTTTTCCTATCCCCGTCGAGATTACGTTATAGCGAGGTCTGACCTGTATCATGTAATGAAGGAAAGGTTCAGCCCAGGACCGCTACCAGCACCATTGAATGGTGTTTTATAAACTATAAATGTTTATCTGCTCATGTCCAATGATTGAGGGCTGCTTTTCTCAAGCTCACACTGTACTATCCGATCACGGTTGCTATCCGTTTTTATCACCCCTTCCTCGAACTGCAGAAGTCGCCAGATGCCGAGTAATCGCTCCTCACCTCTGACCGTCAACCATGCCACCAGCATGGGCGCAGACAGCAATGCTGGCTCTGGAAGCAGCGCGGGCTCGGCATCACTACCTGGCGGTGCTTCACAGTACAGCAGCTTTCCGAGCACTGCGGGGCCATCGCCCGTGGATCACCATGGCCTGCTGGGCAGCCTGAGAGATGAGCCTGCTCAGCCGGGCAGCAGCATGCCAACCACACCCGCCGACAGCCGCTCCACCACGCCAGGTGATCCGCCGCGCAGACCCAGCTCAGCACACTGGCAGCAGCATAGTCCGTTCGGCAGTCGGCCACACGCTGAGCGCAAAACAGACTCCGCTGGCATGGTTCAAGTCCCACTATAGCCGCTGTAGATCCGGCAGTTTAGTCATGAACAAATCAGACGAGAGCTTCAATGGGGCCTGTGTCATGATTCCCGGCGCAGTAGTAGCGCAAAACCGCACTCAACTGTGACTGGAGCCCGGTCCAGTTTGCCATACAACCCGCAGTATTCACTATTCAGTATGCCGTGCTAACTTAATCCACAACAAGTAAATGAGATGCCGCATGGACCTTGCATCATGCATGGCGCTCTAAACTAAACTGCCCCTTCTGGGATGCTCTCCTTCTACCATTATATCATCAAGTTTGAGACCATTCATCTCAGTGTCCACCGGAAGTTCAGCTCTATTGATCATTGACTCCAATTGGGACACCGTGAGTATGCAATGCCGCATACTGAACAGTGGACTGCTGTCCACTGGCTTATAGAAATTTGAATTGTTGAGTTTGTCGCATTTCAACTTGTGATTTCAATATTCTTCAAAATATCATGGTTGTATTTATGGTATCACCACTGAATGGCTAGCCAGGATGTGTGGTAAGGTAGTAGGCCCGAGTCTTGTAGTCCGACCCAACTTGATAATCATAGTTACTAGTACTAGTACAGTAGTATATGCACCTGCTCTATCCGCTGTGATTTGGTAGTCTTGCCGGCTGAGTCTTCAGTGCCCCTGGGTGCCGCATTTGGTTTTTTACAGTGCAAGTGTAGCTTTGCTTCGATCAGCCTTCATGGACTGACCATTCTTGCCTGCCATGTTTTCCTTAGTCAATTACTTGATTTGCCCGCCTCTCTATTTTATCATCATTGATTCAATTATTCAGCTTTTTGGGCCCCCTGAAGCCAGCAAGCAGCAGGGAGTCGTAACTTGGACACGCTCCCTAGCCCTGCAAGCAAGTGTGCATCACGGACGACGGTTATTATAATGAGGGAGTCGTAGAACATGTGGACTGTGATTCGTGCTAAGCAAAATTTATCAACAAACGAGTGTGTACATGACTGTGTACAGGTTTTGGCGACAGCATGCCGCGTGCCTGTATACCATCTCGATGTGAGACCAGGTCCCTCGATCTCACATTGTTTTCCAACGCGCACACGCGAGCCACAATAACGCGACTGGAACTTTCGCGTCACTTCAAAGTAACGTGCAGGTTCTCGAACCTCTTTGACCATGAAAAAACGTTTACGTTTTACAGAAGAAGTGCTGTTTTCTCAATTGTTCTTTAGCATGCATACATGTAGGCCCCAGAAATGATACTTGATATATGGGAATATTTATGCCCATGTTGTGCCCACAATTTCCATGTTACAAATAGTTATGCCTTTTGTTGTACTTATGGCCTCTTGAAAGTACGAAAAGCGCAATTTTTCTGAACTTCGAGGCCCATTGAACAACAAAATGCATACGTATGCCATAATACCAAGCTTACTGAAGAAGAAACAGCCTCTTTTACGGGCAAAAGCAACACAATGATGAGAAACCAGGGTAATGGCGAGAGTCACACTAAAACACAAATTAATGGTTTTAGATCCGGGTTTCAACCACCGCCAGCTCCCTGAGCTCGTTGCTGGACGATGGTATGCCGGCCGAGACCCACGGACACACATGACAGCGGACCGGAGCAGCGCGAAAGGACAGCCTGCATCGCACATATGCAACATGGTGTGCATACCAAGCTTACTTACTTATACAGTCTGTATCGGCTATAGAGTGACCGGATATAAGAATATATCGGCTAGAGTGATATTGGTACGAAATATCAAAAGCAAAACGTATTTTATCCAGTAAAAATATCACTATAAGTGACAGCATGAGTGCATAAACATTTTATGGACTCTTGATGGCACCAAGAGTATAACCCCCATTGCACCAAGAGTATAACCCCCATTGCACCAAGAGTATAACCCCCATTGCACCAAGAGTACATGAAAACCGGGTTTTCATACTCTTGGTGGCACAGAGCACCACGCATCATTCGTTGTAACTAATACTGTAATAGTTTCATGCCCATATGCATAGGCAATCATCAGACAAATAATATTAAATGCTTGATAGTTGCCTATGGCCGGAGCATGAAACTACATTGGAAAGGCTTCCTGTCTGAAGCCTTTCCATACTGGTACTCGATGTTCCAGTTTTGTGACACGAGAATGGCACGAGAATTAGTGTACCGCTGAGTGTACCGCTATACACGTGGTCGACACGTAGTCGACACGTTGTTGATACTTTTTTGACACGTGACCCCGTCAACGATCTGCTTTGTGCCAATGCCACTCGGTAAACGCCGATGTCGCGTACGACAAAGACGACTATCCCGTACGCGAAATAGTTGAGAATTGCATGACGTGGACCTGACGGCAAGGACAACTGCGAGGAGGCCCCTTTCGGTACCCCTGACGGGAAGGAGAACTGCAGAAGTCGACGAAGTCGAACGAGGAGGCCCCTTTTCCGTACCCCATACTGCAAAGTGCCATTGATGGATACCTTTTGCACCTGGAACGACCCCTTAAACGCTGTCGCGGCGACTATCCCGTACGCGAAATAGTTGAGAACTGCTGACGTGGACCTTTTGCACCTGGAACGGCCCCGTAAACGCTGTCGTGTCGGCGGAGTGAATGTGCAGGGTACTGGGGTGAAAAGAATTGCTGCAAAGACGTCCCCTCTACTTGGCTCTAGGCCTTTGCCTTTGGAGACATGGCGAACTGAATGCGCAGGGCGAAAAGAAATGCTGCAAAGACGTCCGCTCTAGGCCTTTGGAGACATCGTGGGAACTCCTTCCGGTACTATACAAACTGCTGACGTGGCCGTGGACATGTACATGGAGAGTCATGGTGGGACTTCATGTACATGGATACATGGTGGGAATTCCTTCCGGCACCCCCGTACCGCAAAGCCAACGGTGGGGAAGGAGAAGTGCAGACGTGCAGGAAGACGAACGAGGAGGAACCAGGACGAGCGAGCAATGGCAGGACTAGCTGGACCGTAAGTAATAGCTGAATTGTGCATGACAACTTGACATCCATGCGGCACTCGCCACTTGCCACTGCATATTTCTTGTCCACTAACAATGTCTCTCCTCTGCCCCCTGTGTGTCCACGGCCCTGTTGCTGAATTGGCCCGATGAATCGAATGTCTTCCGCAACTGGAACGGCCCCGTGAACGCTGTCGCGTCGGCGACTGAATGCGCAGGAGGGAAAATATTGCTGCGAAGACGTCTCCTCTAGACGACGGTAAGGCACGCCATTGATATGTTGCCAGTGTGTGCCAGGGTATCGCGCGATGGTGAATGAGGAATGATGAAGGGTACGGTGGGACTGTAGACCTGTTACCTTCTACTAACACGTTATCAGGTGGAGAGTGTCTTGTACTCACGTTATCAGGTCGAGAGCGTATTGTAGTCACTCTCTCTATTCCTGTACTTCATTACGTTTCAGGTGTACGTATAACTTCTCAAAAAAATTTAATGGTCTACAGTCGTGTCGGAAGGGTACGGTGGGACTGTAGACATGTTACCTTCTAACACGTTATCAGGTGGAGAGTGTCTTGTACTCACGTTATCACTATATCAGGTCGAGAGCGTATTGTAGTCACTCTCTCTATTCCTGTACTTCATTACGTTTCAGGTGCACGTATAACTTTTCCAAAAAAATTTAAAATGGTTCACGTCTTCAGATAGAGAGCGTATTGCACCCGCTGTCTAGTCTCTGTAGTGCATTGAGATTTTGTTGATCGAACATGAAATGGATACACAGACAAAGCCAGGCCAAGTACATGGCGAGATGTCGCCAGAAGAACGTCTTCAGGTAGAGAGCGTATTGCACCCACTGTCTAGTCGATTTTGTGGATCGCACATGAAATGGATACACAGACAAAGCAGGCCAAGTACATGAGAGAGTGGACGATGTGCAGATCGACACGGCCTGCGGGTACTTCATTAAAGTTACCCGTGACATAACTAGGATAAAAGTTAATCACTGCAAAAACATTGCCAAGTATGTGAGCACTTTGGACTTGACAGAAGAGTGCACGGGCGACGTTGACAAAACATACTGCGGTGACTGTCACTATCATGACAGCAGGGCACATCGCACGCAGCATCGCAGATCGTGTCGAATTGCGCATCATAATATTGCAAAATTGCTCCTGTGCATGCAAGTGGATTTCACTGCACTTCTCAGTTTGGGAAATGCTCGATTATGACAATTCTCCGTGTGAGTGCACTAGCCCTGAACAGACATGTAGGTGAACCGTTTGTGGTGTCTCATAGCCTACCTCACGACCTTCTGCTTTCTTTCTTCATCACTTGTATCTTGCAGGTATATCATCCCGTGACGACCACATTGAAGTCTGAATTTGAAGTGTGAAGATGCTTCAGCAACCACATCGTACTTTTCCATTGCTTTCATTGTGCTTCTACTGTGCATGTGTGTAACTTGTGGGGTAAACATGTGATGACATTGTATGTTGGCGACACGGTCAGATGTTCATGCGTCTAACGTACACCTGCATGTTATGCATTGAAAAGGGTTTGCCACTTGCGATCCTGGGACGAGTATCAGGTCCGCTTTGTCCTGTGTGGGCTGTATCAGATTGCTGTTCACTTCTCTATCTGTTGGATATGTGACTTTCTGCAAGTTTCTGGTGTATGATGGCCACGTCCTTGCTTGTCACTTTGTATGATATTACATTCTGTATTCGCTGCTTCCATGGCATGGTCTGCAAACTGCAATCCTTGGGCAAATGTCATGTTTGCTATGTTGTGCTTTGGCCGTCAGCTTGTCTACACGCTGTAGTTGAATTATTTTTGTTTCACAACTGACTTCCTCAAGTACGGTGGCCACTGTTTTGCATGGCATTATACATGAAGAATTTCCTGTTTGTGTCGTGTGCATGTGCGTATGTGTGCGTGGCCACGTGTGTGTGCCGTGTGCATACACATGTTTGTGTATCTGTGTGCGGGGTAGCGAGGCGGGGAGGGCTGGTATGTATCAGTGTGTTATTGCAGTCGCATGGCTACATACAGTACATCGCGCGCGTGGTCATCATGTTTACCTTCGGGGTTGGGGTGGGGAGGGAACGGAAAAAGAGCTGAAATTATCCATATAAAAATCGCTCTGTGAGCGGTTCTGAAAAACCTTTACTGGTACTGCCCCGTCGTAAAAGTAAGAAATTAGAACTGGCCCATTGTCCCCCCACATGCGAACTGATCCACCTAAATCGCGAATGACGGGACCCGAACGCACCAGTAGCACGAGGTTCCTACCTGTGGATGCAGATGGGGACGTTGGTCCGGACCATAGGCCATGTACTGTACTAGCGGTAGGCTTCCCTATCAAAATAATAAATTCTACTGCTACTACTGGTGTTACCCTATGATAATTGCCGTGATCCTGTGCCCTCCCGACCTCGTGCTACTGGTGCGTTCGGGTCCCGTCATTCGCGATTTAGGTGGATCAGTTCGCATGTGGGGGGACAATGGGCCAGTTCTAATTTCTTACTTTTACGACGGGGCAGTACCAGTAAAGGTTTTTCAGAACCGCTCACAGAGCGATTTTTATATGGATAATGACATTGTGCTAGTAATTTTTTTTTCGGGGGTACGAACTAACGCCAAGTAACGGCCTCTTTTGGCAAAATAAAGCCATGTAGACGTGAAAAAAATTGAGATACTACTATACTAGTACACTATGAAAGGTAAAATAGAATTTTATTCAAGTACAATACATTGGGAAACTCCAAGAAATTCCACGTAAAACAGACGAAATTCAGTTCTCAATACTAGTAATAATTATTATTAGTTACATGTAGACCTACCATGTGTACTGTACAACGAATGATGCGTGGTGCTAATATGCTGTGCTGTGTGTAGTCATCATTATAATGGGGGCCGGGTTATAATTATACTGAGGGGGGGGGGGGGGGGGGGAGACCCCGAGGGCGGATCTTGTACCAAGTACATGACTTGTAGTCCTGCGGCCCAAATCTAAAAGACGTTGTTTTGCAAGTCCCGTTTCAGTCTCAAGCAGACAACCTGAGCTTTGCATGGGTGGAAAGACCATGTCCTAGGGATGTCGAAACGGCTTGTTGTCATGTCCAGAACTAGGGCATAAGCTGGGGAGAACCAATTTTAGGTTTCGTTACGGAAGTCGTTATTTTACGACTCCTTGATTGAAATTGGCAGCATGTGATACGATATTTTATTGAAAATTAGTGCAGTCGATGTGAATTTGTTCTTGTGTTTGGATGATTTGTAGATCATGGTTGCCCTTTGCCGAGCGTTCATTTCCTATTGATGGTGATTAGAGATGGCACAGATTGATTTGTTGTAAAATTTGACCAAAATCACCCCCAAACATGGATCTTTCGTATGAGAGGATTTCATTTATTGGGACACTATCTCGACAACACCAGTGGAAGAGAGCTAGCACGAGCGAAGCAAAGGACACCGGAAAACGGCAGAGTGATAGCGATCACAAGCTGATCTTAGCAAACGAGCGATATGGAAGATGTTGTAAATAATAGCGCAGTAGTGTATTCGTCATTTGCTGCAGAGTTGAAAAATAAAATTCAAATCAATTCATAAACTTCAATAGTGCGGTCCACCAGCCTTAGCTTTCAGACTCACTGTCCGATTCACAGTCGGACTTACAGTCCAATCCACTGTCGAAACTGCCTTCACCCTCATCATGGCATTGTGTGCATGCGCGCGCACGCACACACATACACACGTACACACACCGCACAACACATGGCATTGTGCGCGCGCGCTTGCACACACACATACACAAACCCCACACGCACGCACACACACACACCGCACAACACATGGCATTGTGTGTGCGCGTCCGCGCGCGCACACACTCACACACCACATAGCACGCTAGAGATCAGCAAGAACCTGCTGCGACCGTGGTTGAGATGGCGCTGTAGAAGACACCGCAGCCGCCACTGGTTGCCTCGCACCCGAGGTTGTAGTCAAAGCCGTACTAGCCGACACATCTGTACTGGAGGCTGATGTAGTACCCAGAGATGAAACTGATCCACTGGTGTTCACCTGACGCGGCGGAGTAACGGATCCTTTGAAGCCAAAATGAGTGGGCAACACGACATTGGCGGGGACAAGCCCAGCGGATATCGCAGCGGGCCTATCGTAACTCCTGGCAGTGAGCCTATCGTAATTCCTGGCAGTGGGCCCGTTGTAACTCCTGGCATTGGGCCCGTTCTCTTGCCGGACACTGGGGTGCGGAGTGGACGTGGATGCGGGCAGGAAATCTGCGGCGACCGGCTGGACTGGGATGGTTGGAGTCGGGCCAGGTGCGTTACTAGTATGACTGTTCGGCAATGACTGGGTATTACCGGCCATCGTACCGTTTGCAGACTACACAGACAAGTGGTTGCTCCGTGAAGAGTGCGCCTGTATACCCATGCCACTTACCATACATGTCAATTGCTGAAGGAAACACACAGTTCAAACACAAAACGCAAATGAAACACGCCAATGAAATTCGATCTTTAAACAAGTCAAGTTTGCATGTCCGCGTTATCACGGGCTATACAATTGTGTTTAGAAAACAACCAGTTTATAATTCTGTCTCTTCTTGCATAAAGTCAGCCTAGAATACTGACGTCAGCTTTGGACATTACTCTGACTTGGACCACAAGCCCTGATTTATTCTGACCTACATGTGTACAGTGTGAAGTAGCGCGAGAGCCAAGCTGGTCGTAATAATACGTGTAACAGCCACGAACGTAATTCAACCAAAGAAGACTACCACATTACATGAGCATGAACACTTGCATTCCATTTAATACATTCCTATGTTGTAGATGTCAGGCACTGTAGTGTTCACGTCTACATACACATTGTGGCATTCCTTGGCCACCCAGACATTCATGATAGTAGCGCATCGTGTTATGTTATGCATGCAGCATGTGCCGTTTCCCGAGCGCGCGTGTGAAATGAACTTAGCGGCTTTTAGTTGTTGTGCATGAGTTGAGTCTGGACTCATGATCTGGTGTGTACATGCGATCATGTGATCTTGTAGTTGAGCGTATGTGTTATTTGGATTTCCTTGGTCATGACCAAACAATAAAACATGATCAAATTATTACTACACATTCAACAATGCCAAGAACTCACCTGGTCCCCAAGTAGCTCATTATCTTCTTTTTCAGCATGAAAGTTGGATACTAAGGCGGAGTGTGATAGTCAGCCAAGCTGGTGCCGTTTGCAGTTATTGTACTTATCCGTGAGAAGCTTCATGGGCAAGGCCCTTGCAGACTTCAACTCGGACTGTATATACAGCACCAGGCTGTCAAATGTTTCGTAGGCCGACGGCTGGTCACTCCCTTTGCCACTTCGTTGCCGGTGCATAGTGGCCAGGTGGGTGAAGGCACTGTAGCATGCTCCGACATTGATAGTGGATTTCCGCTGCAACGCAATCTGGGCCATTCTGGAGCGAAAGCCAAAATTCTTGCGTTGTTCTCCAACTCTGCTAGATGCACATGTCATGAGGCACAAGTCTGCAGATGTGGATTCAATCATTGTACATCTCTCCTTGTTCTACGCTTTGCTGGTACATGGTGTCCCATCATCACATACATGTATCTCCTCCAATTCAGAATGGCTTGAAAAGTCATGGCCACGTCCAAGTGGCAGCCGACCCAGCAACGTTTTGTTAGTGTATGTACTGTAGCACTTGCGGTGGTACCATCCGCGGACGCTCTCCTCGGTGCAGTGGCTCTCGCACAAGAAGGTATAGCTCGTCCTGCCTGCATTTAGCAGCTTCAAACAAAGTTTCCCAACTCTGCAAAGTAAATCGGGTTTGCTTTTCCTGCGATGCATTGAACGCAATGGCACAAGCAAAATTCCCGCGATACAACGCCATTCCCAGGACGAGGCCTAAGAAGCTCCACGGCCTCTTCCTCCATCATGTCAAAAGGTGTCTACCATGCTGTGAGCGGTGGGCAGGAGGTACTCAAACAGCGCGAAACGCAACTACTATGCAACTACCAAACGAAAATGCAATTCTACATTTCAAAGAGTATCCTCAGTGTCGGTGTCGTCGTCATCTTCAAAAATTTGAAAAAGGCGCTCCTTTCCGTGAACTGTGCACCCCAGATGGTGCGCAGTATCGCCGGCGAGAGCGGAGAAATATTATTATTGGCTTCTCCTGAGCTTCTGCCCTTAGCTAATTAGGATGACAACAAGCGGAATCCAGGTCAAGTATACATACTTTTATTTAGGCCGTAGTGAAGAACCCGTGTAGGTTGTCTGCTTGAGACTGAAACGGAATTTTTTTTGAAGTTAGTTTGGGCCACTCGATCGAGTACGAATGAAGATGTGTACAAAAATCATCTCATCTGACCTTTCGCTTTGTTGTGCATGTGACTGACATGACAGTACTGCAGTGATATGACCAGTGACAGCTGACTGGCATTTTGAGCGTGTACATTAGTCATGGCCCAAATTTGCTCGGCCTACATCGATATTTTGCCGCACAATTTTGCCACAAAAATTTCCATATTCTGCTTGGCATTTCCTTTCTCCGTCGATATTTTGCTTTGGTTTTGCTCGAGATGAAATGAGTTTTAGGGAAAATTCAACGATAATTGCCGCTGATGACGACGATATGTTTGATTGAGCTCCTGCTGCTGCTCAACTTTCCACTGAAATGTAGCCATGAGTCTGTTTTCTACAACGTTTGTGCTTGTTTTCAACCTTGGTGACTGATTGTTTTGAGGGAGTCCCTAAAAAGCCTTGGATTTTTCGAAAAGCCCACCAAAACTCGATATTTTGCTCAAAACTTGCCGGAAACTTGCGCATCCGATATTTTGCTCAAAGAATTGGGCTATGACTAGTGTACATGTAGATCTACGTAGTCTACGTAGATCTACGGTATTCTACGTGTGTGTTTGCATTTTGCAACGTGGAGGCTCACACTGTAGAGTCTGTACTGATCTGAGTCATAATCATAGACATAATAATGACCTGGCATGGCGTCGGTTCATTTTCATTGTTTTTTTTCGGAGGCGCTAGGCAGACATCGACAGACGATCGATCTGCGATACTGACTGTACAGTCAGTGTACACAGCTAACAGGTTGTACTTGTATTGTCTTTACAACTTTAGGCCAGTTTGTGTAGATGACCTGCTTTTCTACCTTGTATTTCAAGAAGGACTAACTAACTTACCAGTTAGACGATCTGTTCGTAGCGGACAACATTTTCGATGCCATTGAATGTAGAAATAAGTAATCTGCTGCTCGTGTGAATCTGTACAAGAGTAGTGGTGGCGCAGAGCTTTAGTTGACCAAATTAATTTGCAAATTAGGTAGTTGACTCTCCTCATCATACTGTGATTGTCCTACTGGTGTTTATATTATCTTGCCACTGGCTCTAGTGAAGAGCATGGATTTGTTGCTGCCCCGTACCTGGATATGCCGCGTGTTGTTATGTCTCACCATTTTCAGCTTTGCCGGTGAGTGAAGGAAAAGTGTGTTCCGCGTGAACGGGTTTGCTCCATTTCACAATTCCATTTTGCCAAAGTATTTGCCCTCCATGACGACAAACCGAATTCTAGCACGGCTCTGTATCTTGCTTCTGGTGTACAAAGGGTTTGTGACCCCATTGAAGGTACACGTATTGGCTACTTACTGGGCCTGTAAGAGGTTCTATTAAATTTTAGTATCCTTGCCTCCTTGTACTTATGATCTCTCATGAATACGTTCCGTATCTCTTCAGGGTTCAGAATACAACCTGTGATTGTGAAGGCCTGTCCCTGTTCTAAAGCAAAGACTGCAGTAGATCTTCTTGACTACTGATATTCCTCTGTCGTAGTGCACAAGGGCTTGGTTTGTTGGGTCCTCTGATCAGGACCACACACACACACGGGGGTGTTAGTGTTTTGATTTGAGCTTCAAGTCGATCCTGGTGCGGTCTATTTATTGTATGATCGCTGCAATGTCACATGGCGGGTACAGGTCAACTCTCTATAAAATGTAATCTGGTGATCCCGGTAATACCGATAATTTAAATTACGTTCATCGCCCTTCCCCCAGAGGCGCACACACCAAGGGACATGAAAGAGGGGTGTCAAGTTTTGTCGCTTGGCAAGCACATTGTAAGTTATGTGTAGCTACTACAGTCGTGGCCAAAGAAATCCGACCAGCGAGTCAACAGTAGCGCCGCGTTTCCATTTCAATTACATCACGCATGTTCCCAAAACTAAAGTAAACAATCCATGATCACAAGTGCGGCCGGATGTTCCAGTGATCTGGCTAGTGTTGCACTGTATGCCTTACGATGCCCACACCGGAGACTACACGGGACCCCCTTCTCACTAGCGAGTGGAGGATATAGATTGCCTTGCTCTCTTTCTCTCTCTCCCTCTCTCTCTCTCTCTCTCTCTCTCTCTCTCTCTCTCTCTCTCTCTCTCTCTCTCTCTCTCTCTCTCTCTCTCTCTCTCCATCTATCTCTCTCGCAATCATCCACCCAAATTCTGTATAGCCAGCACAATCAACTCACTCTTGCAAACTGGCAGAGGATGCGACCACGTCTTGTTCTCTCTCTCTCTCTCTCTCTCTCTCTCTCTCTCTCTCTCTCTCTCTCTCTCTCTCTCTCTCTCTCTCTCTCTCTCTCTCTCTCTCTCTCTCTCTCTCTCTCTCTCTCTCTCTCTCTCTCTCTCTCTCTCTCTCTCTCTCTCTCTCTCTCTCTCTCTCTCTCTCTCTCTCTCTCTCTCTCTCTCTCTCTCTCTCTCTCTCTCTCTCTCTCTCTCTCTCTCTCTCTCTCTCTCTCTCTCCTCTCTCTCTCTCTCTCTCTCTCTCTCTCTCTCTCTCTCTCTCTCTCTCTCTCTCTCTCTCTCTCTCTCTCTCTCTCTCTCTCTCTCTCTCTCTGCCCTACCCATAACTAAGCTCACCATCTTGCCCATATAATTGCAGCCCATTGAATTTATGATACACTTACCCGCAATCAGTCTTACCCGCAATCAGTCCCTCCAATTTACCACACATTACACCCTCAGATTTCTAGTGACCAAATTTTCTATTTTCTCCGGTATATCAAGAGTTGACCTGTGCTAGCATGCAATCACATAGTTCATGCAGCATGTACCATCATGACTGTGTGCTTGGTCTGCTCTATTCCGGGCTTGATTTTCAGCCTGGCGAGTTCAGATACTTTGAACGGAAGAATCCTGAGCCGCTGTGTGCCTTATCAAGTTGCAATGCATTCAGAACGGATTGCGGGAATGAGTTTTGGATTCGGTACACGAGCCACAGCACTGAATTCGTTTCTGTGCATCCCTTTGAGCGTTAGAAGTCCCTGGCTCTTGCTGAAGTATAGTGTGCTTGTTTTCCCCTCTCTTCTGTGCCTTTCTTTGGCTATGCAGGGTCGTCTACACCCGTACTACAAGGCGGATCACCCGCTCTCCACGACTCTGATGATGCACGGCCTGGAGTTCAGGACCCACCACCGCAGCCCCCGTTGATTGGCAGCAAGCAAAGCACCAGCGGGGCTACTGACAACGACGGGCCGGAGCCTACTAATGTAGAAAGAGATGCAAGACCAGTTCACATGAATATGGCAAGTGAGAATGACCATCGCGACACCGTGTCAGTGGAAAACCTCTCTCAAGTTGGGCAGGGCGTTGTTGCAGAGGATGGCCTTGGGAATAAGTTTAACCAAGGACCAGAGGAGCTAACTTCTGATGAGGAGGATTCTCCTCGTGTTGAGAAGACGACTTCTTCAGAGAGACCTAGCAGTGGAGAAAACAAGACAGCTGTGCGACAGGCCATTTCTCACACAACCACAAGATTGGGAGGAAAACCTACTGTAGCACCAGCGGCAACAACGGCAGCGGGAGCAGTGGCAGCACCCACGGCTGCGAAAGAGTTGCACCTCCTGGCAGCTGGACTGAAGCAGGGTAAACTCTCGCCGTCTCCAGCAGCTATCGTACCTAGCCCTAATCCTGCTTCTGCTGTTGTGAATGGAAAGCGTGCGGGCAATAGTGCTCCCCACGAAGAGAAATCTTCTTCTTCCTCGGTTACTGATAATGTCAGTTCAGCGCCTGTACCTAGGATGAACGGTAGCCAGTACACACCACCTCTTAGCGAAAATGCCCCTGGCCAACGCCCAAGTCAACCGGAAACTCGCCGTCTCAACTCCGAAGAACAGCCTGACGAATATTCCCGGAAGCCCTTCAACCGTCGTCCTGCTACTTCCGGAGGTTCTCGTCTTGCACCTGGCTATGGTGGCGGCAGCCAAGGGCAAGGTTTCCAGAACAGTCGTGACGGGGCTGGTTACAACTTGCCCCAGCGTCCTTACCAACAAGAACGTCGCGGACAGCCCCAGGGTGCTGCTTATGGACGAAATGACGCTCAGTCATTCCGTGACGGCCGTCCTAGCTATTCAAACCGTGACTACGGGAAACGGCGCGGAAACTTGGGGAATGGAAGTTATCGTACTACTCAGCAGCTTAGAGGCAACGTGGATCCCGCTTATGACGCTGAAAGATATGTCTATACTCCGGATCAAGGCAGCAGAGCTCGCCAGCCAGGCTTTCCGAGAGATGGTACCCGTAGATATCCTGCTGGCCAGAACAATCCTCTGAAGACTGGAGATACTAGTAGATATCCCGTTGACCAGGCGAATCTTCGCCCGAGGACTGGAGATAGCCAAAGAAATCCCTTAGGCCAGAACTATCCTCCTCAATGGACTGGAGATAGCCAAAGAAATCCCATTGGCCAGAACTATCCTCCTCAAAGGACTGGAGATAGCCAAAGATATCCCATTGGCCAGAACTATCCTCCTCAAAGGACTGGAGATAGCCAAAGATATCCCATTGGCCAGAACTATCCTCCTCAAAGGATTGGAGATAGCCAAAGATATCCCATTGGCCAGAACTATCCAGATACTAGTAGTAGAAATCCAGTTGTCGCAGACGACCAACGTCGTCCTTTCAACCCACCTGCTAATGTCGGACCGAAGAATGGCCAACAGGACTCTTTGGATCATTCAGAGGACAGAGGGCCTGTTCCTTCTTTACTGAACACACAGGTGAAGACAGATCGCACTCTCGCTGGTAACTCACACGAACAGCAGCAGCTGCAGCAAGACCAGCAGAATCCAAGCACAGTCCAATCTTTGTCAACTACACCTGTACAGCAGAAACTGAGCAGCAACACAAATGTCACCAGGAATGCCGGCGGCCAACCCAGTGACAACTTGCCACGGCCATCAACACCACCACCGTCACCTGCGCTGTTGAAGACAGTAGCAGCAGCAACAACAGCCCAACCAGCGGAAACCAGCTCGCCACGACCAAGCACTGCGCCGGCCACGACAATGCAGCAAAGTCCAGTGTTGACATCAGCTAACAAAGATCTTCCTCTGGATTTGAGTACCACTGCAGAGATACCAGCGACGACACAGCAGAGGCCTGGTGACAGTGATAGCAGTTCTGTGTTGCAGCTACCAAAGGTTGATGCCGTATTACCAAAATCGTCCCAGGACAAGCCATTCGTGGAAAGGCCACCAGCGAACGTGCCACCCATGGTCCCCCACAGTGCTGACGTTGGCGACAAGAAACCTTCTGTTGTTTTTGGAAAGACTAGACCAGGAGGAGAAGAACCTGCGAAATCAACGGGGTATTCAACCCACTTTGTCATGTTCTTCCTGGCCGTCTGCGTTATTTCTGTCCTGGTGTACGCAGCAAGAAACAACAAGAACAAGGTATGTGTAGTAGCATGCGTACGCGTGCACCTCGCATGCGTACGCATGTGTGTAGTGTGTGTCCTCATATGCGCACACCTGTTGCTTTGTGATGTTTTGGAATCTGTACACAACGGGATACTGCCTGAAAAACAGCTACAAGTAGAAAGAAAATGTTGCACATTATTCACGGGGCTGGTTTGGCCATTCTTCAGTTTGGGTGTTTTTAAAGTTGGCTTCTTTGCCATGATCTGAGCGTGTCACTAGGGGTGCGTTTGGTTGGTACGATCTAGAACAGGATCGAACAGCTGGTGCACACGGAGCAGCCTCACGCCAACCAAACGGCACTCCAGAAACAGAGCATATTTTTGTGAAAAATATGCCAAACTTGGTGCATTCTTCAAAATGTGTATGGGTCACCATGGTCACTGTGTACGGTACGACGAGTCCAACCCAAAAGCGTATGCACGTGATCATTTGGGACCAAAATCGATGTTCCCGCCAGGTTTCACTGTGAAAAAGTGAAACTGCTCGGTCTGCTCCGGCCTTGAGGCCGGAGCAAGCAGAACATGTTCTGGCGACCCAGAACGGGTGCAGTCTCAACCAAACGCGCTGTTCTGGTGAATCCTGTTCTAGTTCGTACCAACCAAACGCGCCCCAAGAGTCCATGTTAGCGTAGTATATACTATTTTCTCAGCAAACAACAACTTCGTGACTGCGATTGACCCTGTCAGCTCCGATGAATTGAGCTCTGAGGATCGCGCGATGGCCCAAATAGCGCCAATTTCTTTGCGCAGCTGTGTACACACTTAGTTTATGCACTCATTGTCTTGAAGTGTTTTTGTTCAACGGAACCGAGTTTCTCGACCACAGTAACACGGCCAAGTTGCATTGCAACGGAGTGTACATGACCAAAAATTCCACGGTTACGTTTCAAACTCTGACCACGTCTATGGACGTCGAGTCGCATGGACGCAAAACGTGTTTCGTACAGATTTTGAAACCGGGCCTGAATTCCATTCAACATGCATCACCATTGGGTGGAAATTTTTAGCTACCCAGGCAAGGGAAAAACCTGGTCATTGTGAAGAAGAACAAATCAGCTATCTGTCAGTGTTGGAGGTTTGAGCTTTTGAGATTTGAGCTTCTGTCCCGGCCTTGTATGAAATAACAGTGATCACGCCCTTTAAAAACTCACTCAATTTCGAAATACGAACAATATTTTCCAAACGGCGAGAAGATCGAAACCGCGACACTTCTCTTCTGCGTTTTTAATCGCATTGCAAGCATGACCACCACGTTTTGTGCGTCATGCCGTTGCATGGACGCGAGCCTCTTGTCGCAATGTGAGCGTGCCGCCACCCTAAGTGTTTGTTTCATGTTTGTTCCCTGGCTTGTGCTCATTGCTTGCCAGGTGTTGGCTTTTGTAATGGACGGTTCACGCCGCAGTCGCCGCGGTGCTGGCGGTCGCTATGAGCGTGTGCCGAAGGGAGACGCAGAGTCGGCGCCATCCCTCGACAGTGCCAAGAGTGCATCGTACGTGTATTAATGCAGCTGCTGCTGGCACTGCTTCTACTACATGTACGTGCAGTGCAGTTGTCCCGTGACTTTCTGACGCTGCTATGCTGTTTGAAACAGCATTGCTGCAAAACCATGATGACCTCGAGAAGGGCAGCAACTGTAGGCGTGGTGGCAACATTATTTTATTGGCTGGACCAACATCACCATCGGCGCTTTCAAGTTGTGCCATGCTGCGGACACCTGCTGCAGAACAATATCATGAGAGAGAGAGAGAGGGAGAGACCATGTGCGTGTGTGTGTGTGTGTGTACTCGTGCACACTGGCATGCATGCATAAGGGTGGTGCGTGAGTAACTTTATAGAGTACATGTAGATGTAGTTAGATAGGCACTGGATTGTTGCTATGCTGGTTTGCTTTAGTAGCAATAACATCTCCTTGCGTACAATGCAACACACACACACACACTTTAGATTTGCCCATGCTTTGCCCCTCGTTGAGTTTTCTGTCACCGCCGCTGTTTTTATGCTGCCGCTGGCATGGCTTACTTATTTCAGATGCCGCCGATACATAGCTCTTGTGCTCTGCACTGCAGTACGCACACACACATACACATGCATGGTTGCTGTGTGCGTACTGCGTCAGGCGAGACATTCCTGCGAATGACCTCTATCACCCCCCCCCCCCCCCCCCCCTGCTACTTGAACTCTTGTGCGTGCTTGCATGCGTGTGTAATAGTGACGTAAGAATTGGCCGTGGAGAGGTATTGCTGCTTTTGCTGTTGTCCTGCAGTGGCACGAGGGTCCTTGCTATGCTGCTTTTGTTGAGTGTGCACATCTACATGTGTGTGTGTGTGTGCGTGCATGCGTGTGTGTGTGTGTGTTAGCAGAATAGGTCATGTTTCACTTTATCTAAAGGACGGCTTTGCCAGCACGGCAGCAGTATGGTATCATCATGGATTTATCCTAGGCACTCGCAGTACTCCCAGTCTTCATGACAGACCTGTGACACCCGGGCCGGAGTTATGTTTGACTGCGTCCGTATCGCACAGTACAACTTCAGAATTAAACATCGCGAATATTCTTTTCTTTTAAAAACTGTACGAGTGCATCTGCACGGTGTTGTTGAAAATGCCTGTATCAGAATGCCGGTGAAATAAGCCTGGACCAGGCAGTTGTATAGGTTGCCTACACCACTCTCTGGCCTGGACTCCGCCAGTTCCGGCACCCAGAACAAGCTGAGAAAAACGACTGCATTGTAACTTTGCAGATTTAATGCATTCAAATAGTTCAGGTGTGGTGGATACCAGGGAGTCGTATTTTATTAGACATCACGACATTAAGTGTTTGCCAATATGAACCAAGAACTTGGGCATGCAAGGAGCTCCGCTGTGTGCAAAGAGCCGCGATCATGTGTTTCTTGGATCCACGCAATCCATACTATAGTTGGTCATCAGGGAGCCCTAAACGTCTGTGTATGTGTAGGGCTCCCTGGCCATTGTGTATGTGTACGGCTCCCTGGCCATTGACCTCTTTCACAGAACTAAAATCATGTCACTTGTGTTATTAAAATTAATGTATAATCATTCAAATTCCCTTCTGGTGCATGTTTGCGTCATGCGTGCATGCGCGCGTGCGTGTGTGTTTGTGTAGCAAAGTCCTGAGGCAGATTGAAAAGATTTCTTTACAAACATGGCCGTGGGTGGCGGATCCAGACCGGGAATTAGCCACCAAGGCAGTCAAAGAAAGGTTGAGCCACAGGAAAATCTGAGAACAGAAAGTGATTGTCACCACGTGCAGGCTATTACACGCCACCCACCACAGTTCACCTCCACACAAGCACACACACGCACACACGGTGGAAGGACATTGCGACGCTGGCGACGGGGAGGATAGAACTTCAACTATCGGTGATCTCATTTCTGCGGCATTGCTAAGCTAACTACTTGTGGGAAAGTCATGATTTGATTTGTCAGCTCCTAGTCCGGATGTAATAACTTGTTATAGCGGATATCAATAGGAGAATGGTGCAGGTAGTACTCCAGCATGTGCTCCAGCAGCACACACACATTACTCATTAGTAAACTAATTGTAGAGAGCGGATGACGGCAGCATAAAATGATAAATGGTTTTTTGGGATGAAAGCGGCATTAATTTAATAAAAAAAAGAGCAATTGAGCTGGGAATAAGAACTCCCATTACTTTTATCAGACCATGCATGAGAATAACTTACATGCGGTAAGTTAACCTTGGCATCACGGCATCACGGTGAGTGTCAGCTGTATCAGCTTCTAGTGTCAGCTGCTAGTGCCAGCTTCTAAGTTCTAGTGTCAACTAACGTTACTTCTAGTGTCAGCTGTGGCCATGACAGTGGCAAGTACCGTAGTGGCTCACTGAGGCAGCACGGCATGTGTGCATGCAGTGCACGTATCAACCAACCAACTACCGTAGTGGCTCACTGAGGCAGCACGGCATGTGTGCATGCAGTGCACGTATCAACCGTGCACAACTTCACCAATCAATATCTAGTGCATGCATGGCTCAAGTTCACATCGGCATTGGTCCTGTGTAAGTGCAGTACTGTAGTGTGCTGTGCTGTGCTGGATGATTACGTCACTACTGCCATCAAGACTGGTACGTGATTACGTCACTACTGCCATCAAGACTGGTACGTGATGGGTTATGCACGCATGTGCAGCCAACATGCGCATGCCGTTTCACCAAGACTGGCAAGAATGAAGATGAAGACGTGATGGGTACACACACACACATCACCATCCAGGCTGGCCAGTTTACACATTGTACACGTCGTGAATGCACATTGTATGCATCGTGAATACACACGGTATGCCCCACGTGTGGGTACACACGCGGCACACATGCCCGCTGTATTGATGCACACATGGCAGCCTGCATCACATCCAGCACACATGCCCGCTGTATTGATGCACACATGGCAGCCTGCATCACTGATCCAGCCTGAAAGACTAAGAGCACCGTGACCGCACACCAGGCATGGCCGGGTCCTTTCACACAGTTTCTCACCGACAGAGGCAGAGGCTCAAGTGAACACAGTCAGCGAGATTAGATTCTCTTTGGATGTGAGTGGCGGCCGCAGGTCCTCGTCCACCAAGAACTGGTGCGGGAATAGCACCAAGTTGCCTCTGATCGTGCGTAGCATGTCTACAGCTTTCTGTGGGTCAGTGTCCTTCAACCCAGGTGTATCCTATAGTGGTTCAAGAAAACGGAAAAGAAAAGAAAGGTGAGCATTTCTAAATGGCGAGGATCTACTGAGAACCGATAGTGTCAGCATGAGGGGGAGGGGAGGGGGGGGGGGGGGGCACACTACCTAGTTGCAACCTCTCCACCACCGTAGTGCGCCAGTCACGAGTCGGTGCTGAAGTCTGCTCATGTTGTGAACTGAGAACGTTGTGAGGTGTGTGTGTGTGCGTGTGTGTGCGTGTGTGTGTGCGTGCTCGTGTGTGTGTGTGTGTGTGCGCGCGAGCGCGTGTATGTGTGTGCGTGCATGACATCCCGTTGCACAATGCAAACAAGGCCAGTAGTGTCATCACGCAATCACGGCTAGCCTAGAACCTACTTTCTAGCCTAGAAACTAGAAAGTAGGTATTGGAAGCATTTTTACGTATTTTTGTATTCCCAGCTAAGTAAGACCACTGAAGTGCCCCTTCCCTCAAGAGGGCACCTTGATTTTAATGATTTACTGATCTTGCGAAATGAAAGCTGTATGGTCGAATGCAACGATGGTCATGTGGTGTAAGAACTGAGTGCACAGTCATGTACTGGGCTCAAACATGGGGCCACACCATCTCACTATCCTTGCGTAGAGCTTGCTACCGGTCAAAAGAAGGTGATAAGTACGGGTTGCCTGCATAACATGCAATGCGTGTGTGTACATTGTAAGTGTGGTATGACTCATAGTATTCAGCTAGGATTTGGTCATCCGCACCACCTGCACAACACAAGACCATGCTGGGATCCAGATGGCGGGGAGCTCTCACGGTGCCTCGTGCTGCTGCACTGCTAGCAATCCCCATCTAACGTTGCTGAAGTTACTCACTCTGTTCTGCTGGAGCTGGTTCAGCCTGCGGACGCAGTCATTCGGAATGCAGTTGAACACCTGTGTGGCGTGGCAAGCAGGGTGGGGGGAAGGAAGCACATTCCGACATGCGTATGTCAAGCATCTGTCCATCACCTACATACAATGCTTGAGTAGTGCAATCACATACACTGTACACTATAATACCGTGTAGGAACGGCATTATCATCATTGCGGCATGGCACTCCAGGAACAACACCTTCACAGACATCCGCAGTTGACACTTGCACACAAAAAGCAGGGACCTCAATGAATGGAAACACATGCTGCACACACCTATAAACACATGCTGCACACACCTATAAACACCTTTAAAGGTTACTGTACGCAAATACAGTGAAACCTGTCTAAGACGACCGCTCAAGGGACCTTCAAAACGTGGTCTTTGTAACCAGGTGGTCTCCTTATCCAGGGTCATTTGACTGGAAATAGCATCCCTTGGTCCTGGCTCCAGTGGTCTTCTGGGACAGGTGGTCGCCTTATCCGAGTGGTCGCCTTGACAGGTTTTACTGTAGGCATCCTCAGTTGATATTCGGTTGCTTTGGTCGGAAGTCGCGAACTCGTGGCACAGCGCTACACTTGCACTAGTGCGTCACGCTGCACAGTGCATACTGTAGCGCCCATTTTGAAAATCTGTCCGCGCCCATTAGAAAAGCCGGCCATGAAATCATACTCGCATAACCTTTATACAGCATACGAATACGAGTAGTTTACCACTGGCCTATGCCAATGAAACTTGAGAGGGATTCAAAACACTCCCCGGCCCAGGCCTTGTTTTCTTGTACAGGAAAGGTGCACGGCGAGCATTCTTGCAGCTTTCATTTCCCACGCAGGCCGAGCGAACACTCATAGCACTTCATGGGAGTGTTTCCAATTGCACAAAAAAAAACATCCTTCCAGAGACAAACTTGAAGTTGCCAGGGACACAAAACAGACAACAGCGATAAGAAGGCATAGGACCACTGACCAGATCAAGAATTTTAGTGTTGGCCGCAGCACGACTTAGCCACACATTCTACAGGAGACAAAACAAAGGATCAAAACACCAATAACTAATTCGGAACGTCTTCACATTACTTGCTGGTGATGATATCGTTCAGTTCATCATGCTAACATTTCTAGTGTCCGATCAATTCAACGACTACCCTGTTGGTGTATACACAGCTCCCCTTACCTTCCCCCCCCCCCCCTCACTGCTCCCCTTACACCCCCCCCCCCCTCACTGCTCCCCTTACACCCTCCCCTCACTGCTCCCCTTACACCCCCCCCCCCCCCTCACTGCTCCCCTTACACCCCCCCCCCCCCTCACTGCTCCCCTTACACCCTCCCCTCACTGCTCCCCTTACACCCCCCCCCCTCACTGCTCCCCTTACACCCCCCCCCCTCACTGCTCCCCTTACACCCTCCCCCTCACTGCTCCCCTTACACCCCCCCTCACTGCTCCCCCCTCACTGCTCCCCTTACACCCCCCCCCCCCCCTCACTGCTCCCCTTACACCCCCCCCCCCCCCTCACTGCTCCCCTTACACCCCCCCCCCTCACTGCTCCCCTTACACCCCCTCACTGCTCCCCTCACCCCCACCCCCCTCACTGCTCCCCTTACACAAGGAAAAGAATGACCGTACAGTGCCCAGTGAAACAACAACCGTGATAGTTTTACAGACAAGTAGAGTGAAAATTACCTGTACATGCTCCTTACCTTGAAGAAATGGTCACTGTTCGGATCAAAGCATTCCTGGTGCGCACATCCCAAATGCTCCCTGAACAAAGGAAATAATGGATGAGAGAGAGAGAGAGAGAGAGAGAAAAGAGAAAGAGAAAGAAAGAGAGAGAGAGAGAGAGAGAGAGAGAGAGAGAGAGAGAGAGAGAGAGAGGGAGAGAGAGGAGAACTCAGGATATACAAATAGGAGGCAGGACAACACCATACATACACGCAAACCTGGTTTCAGCCATCGTCCTTGCGACCGGCCCATTGCGGTCTTCGAGCACAGCCTGCGTTCTCCGAAGCCAGGGTAACCCCTGCCCGTTCGACACATTCTGCACCGAATACAACTGGTCATGCGGAGCGGGTGGTGGCTAAGATCAGTACGTAGCAGCTCGCCCAAATCAAAACGTGTAGGCAATTACTTGGTACTATCTTCCAGACTGACATGGCACCATTCTGGATGTGCCGAGTAGCTACCGCCACACCCACACCGCGAAATGAAGTCACCAATAGGCTAGGCAAGCTTACGTGAACAGTGACATCCTGAGACTGTGAGCAAATCGACCGACGTCATACGGTTTCCCATTCATACAGCCTGGTATCTGACAGGCAAGGTCAAACACAGCACAAGCAGAAACAACAGTCGAGAAGCTACAGGAACTTACTTCCGGTGCTCGATGCACTGTAATATCATCACAAATAATTACTTCAGCTCGTCATGCCAGTCGTGCGCCACATCAAAGAGAAGGAAAAAGGAAAAGGAAAGGTCACACTGCCAGCACTCACCATATGCGTGTCACGCACAACTGCTGCAAGCTCTGTGTCTCTGTCGCCAGTCATGCTTCGATCATTGATGTTAGCTGCAGCCGGGCAAGCAAACATGTACATGCTCCGGTTGACGGATGATTCTATTTCGTTCAATGAGCAATATTCAGTATTATTTACACTGCCGCAGTACACTTATAACCGGCATCATATTCTATTTGTCTCCTACAGAAAAACAACTAAGAGAACAGATGGGCAGGGCAGGTAAGGCAGGGCAGGGCAGGGAGGGCAGCAGGCAAACATACCTGATCCCATGATGACAACTCGATCATCCACAATCATCAGTTTGCTATGGATGTAGATCATTTCAGTGACCTGAAAGAACACCAGCAACAAAACATGCAAAATACACACATACTCATAAGTGTACTATGCCAGTTGTGCTGAAATTGAATCCCGGATGACCATGCTCAAGAAGAAGACGATCAAACATTAGCCAAGGATACAGTACAATTGGCGAAAGACCTTTTTGTTAGGACAACTTCTGGTGGTCATGCTTAGAATCCGTTGCACAGTTAGAATACATGAATACATATTGAGGTCAAGTCGACATGACTCACCAGCTTCTGTTGTATCTTGCCGTGCGCTCGCAGTCCACAGAACGAGACGTACCGCAGTGGTTCCATAACTGTGCAGCAAGCAGGCAACATACACACACTACTAGTAACCCGTCCTGACACACACACTTTCAGCTAACCGGTATGTTGCATATGACAGAACACACTGAAATAGCCTGCACAGCAAAGGCTACACTTACCAGTGTACAGACTGCCCCCCCCCCCCCACCCACCCACCCACCACCAGCAGATACATACTTGGAGGCAAAATGTCAAACTCCAGTTTTGCATTCTGTTTGCTAGAACAGTAATGTTTGGGTCATAACGCGTCTGGGCAATTTCGGCTCTTTTCCTGTGAAAAAAAAAACAGGGCCTTGGGAAAATACGGGTTTCTTTTGCTAATTCAAGTGCCGGGAAGTTCGACAACTCAAGGCCATAGTAGAAAAAAGCATTGCGTTTCAATTCCTTACTGCCAAGCGCTCTTAAGCGGCCGAACAATGAGCTAGGTCCACGGTAGATGGATGACTGGATATAGTGAAGGATAGCTTTCTTGGCAACGCCGCCTGCATCCAGTTCACCTGGTGCAGAGGAAACAACAACAACGCAGAGTCATAATGTTTCTATCCACCAATCGGCTATTCACGGCTGGATCACAGCAGGTAGGGTGGGCTACAGGTAAAGACAGAATGATGTTGAGACATACTGAATACCCCACACTATTCAATTATGCCTAATGTATGTTAGCCCCATCCCTCACACAAACAAGTCAACAAAGAGGCATCTTTGGATTGAGGAGTGCTGGTTTCGAAACAACTGGTTTGAAGCTCAAAGTAGAGCTGGTGTTAGCTCAGAGCAGAGCTGCAGTTAGCTCATAGCAGAGCTGCTGTTAGCTCATAGCAGAGCTGGTGTTAGCTCAAAGTAGAGCTGCGGTTAGCTCAAAGTAGAGCTGCTGTTAGCTCAAAGTAGAGCTGCGGTTAGCTCAAAGTAGAGCTGCGGTTAGCTCAAAGTAGAGCTGCTGTTAGCTCAAAGTAGAGCTGCGATTAGCTCAAAGTAGAGCTGCTGTTAGCTCAAAGTAGAGCTGCTGGTAGCTCAAGTTAGGGCTGCTGTTAGCTCAAAGTAGAGCTGCGGTTAGCTCAAAGTAGAGCTGCTGTTAGCTCAAAGTAGAGCTGCGGTTAGCTCAAAGTAGAGCTGCTGTTAGGTCAAAGTAGAGCTGCTCTTAGCTCAAAGTAGAGCTGCGGTTAGCTCAAAGTAGAGCTGCTGTTAGCTCAAAGTTGAGCTGCTGTTAGCTCAAAGTAGAGCTGCAATGCTAAATGGATGTAATATGGCGCAAGTCAGAGCCACAGCAAATAGCTACATAACACCAGTTGTGAGAGTGGACCCGATTAGTGGGTACGATAATTATAATGATGGTGTGAATAAGTTGGATAGGGAGGGATGGCGGGAAAAGAAACACTGCTGAAGCACGATCCGTTGTCTGGAAGAGCACAACAGGGCAAGCAAGATTTCTTTTCAGCAAAATGGGCTGGTGCCATTTGTGATTACGCAGCAAAACAAAGCGCATGATGTCAGTCTTGAATGCAGTACAAAGCAATGCAGTGCAGTGTGTGCGCTAGTTCGGATTGTTGCTAACAAGTACTGGCACAGCTAGTACACCATTAGCGATGGTTGTTTGAAAACACATTAGTTGGCATCATACGTCATCAAAGTGTTTCAAGATGAACCTGTGGTTATATACCAGGGCCGCCGGAACCGGTCCGGTTCTATCACCGGACCATTAAAAAAAACCCAAAAAACCCCAAACAAAAACACTCTGGCTCACCCCCTGGGATTCGTCTAAAACCGGGGAGGAAAACTTCTGGGTACATACATTGTACATGTACATGTATTATCGATCATGCATACATGTACATAATTATGTACATGCACCCATACGTATATACTCCCATAGTAGGCCATACATTGTACATTGATATCCATGCAAAATTATTCCCCGTAGTGGGTTCTGAAAACTTGTGAAAGGGCCAAATTCTGCTATTTTCGACCGGATTTGTCAAAAAATTCCCGGGGGAGATCCATCGGACCCCCCTCGAACCGGACCAACTTCGCCCACCTTCCGGCGGGCCTGTATACGGTTACGATTTGTTCCTTTGGAGGATAAGAGAATTGGCTATGCAGTCCGTATCGGCGGAACATATCGATATTGTGAATAGCATGCATGTCTAGGACATGTACCTGGGAATCCAGGAAGCAGTGGCAGAATGACGTAACAGTGGAACATGCTGTGTGACCTAGACGTGTGCACAAGTACAGAAACACGTACATGTATACACACTGTGAGGGTTGCACTGTGACAGGCACAGTCAGTACTATACACAGTTGCAGTCCACCACCACCACCACCACCACCACCACCACCACCACCATCAGCAGCAGCAGCAGCAGCCTGAGTGGTGGTGACGACAACGCGAACAGCAACAGCAGAAGCAGAAGCAGAAGGAGGAGCAGCACAATGGGCCAAACATACACTGACCGCACACTACTCACTACACACTACATTATACCACAACACATTAGAACCCAGCACTGCACTAGTAGGCTGTGACGCCGGTAGATCTCAGTTCAGTAAGGCACCTCATTTCGCATGGTAAGGACGGCAGTCTCACGCAGACAAACAAAAAGGACCTTGGTGAATTAGAGCTCCTCCAAAGGTTAATTAACTAAGCATTTACTCCTCAGACATAGTGGCACTGACACGCACGACGTTTGTCCCCAGCTTCCATGGTCCATGCACAGGTGCATATGTAGTTCTGAACATCGCCTATGCCTGTGCACCTACTGTAGCCTGCAAGGGCTTTAGCATGTTCCCAGCAGGGAGACATACAAGATACGACTTCAGGCACGCGACGGCAGTCGGGTTTGCTGTACATGGGCCGGGTGATAGTCATCTCGTCCATTGCCTCTGACTCTTACTTACTCGTGGGCACGCGCAATTCGCTCAGCTAGCGTCTCCACAATGGGATTGAAGATCTGCGGGCTGCTGTCCAGCTGCGAGCTGATGAAGAACTGGTTCTACAGGTACACAACAGACATACAAACATGTTGCTGTGTCAGAGCATTCTCACTGTAGTGAAAGCAATGGAAATTGTCAGTGCAATAAAAAAAAAACATTTTAAATCGCCCACTTTCGGACACAAACCTCTCATTTTTTCACAGGTGCTACCTTTCACATGTACTTTTGGTCGCTGCAGGCAGATCAGCAATGGGGTTTGATACAAAGTGTGGGTCGCTGGTCTTACAAGCATGCAGCTGCTTAAACCAGCGCACTTTATTATACAGACTCGTCCGTGAACAACTTGATACTCGAAACAGTCCCTGCAGGCATGCAGGTACTCACTGACACCATGCATGCTTTACTGTACTCTCTCTCAGCTAATAGCTCTCTATTCCTCACATTATCCCTCCCCATACATGTACATGTACATGCACACACACACACACACAAACGCCACACCCACATATGAACGCACACGCATGCACGCAGCACATGCACAGAATTCTTGCTAAACAGGCAAACTGCCCAGTAGAACACCTACCTCAATGTAGATAAACTGCTCCGCATTCTGAATGCTGGCACAGTAGGCACGCAGTATGGAGCTCTCTTGTGGCACACCACACGACCAGTCGCTAGCACTGCGTACAATCTACACCAACATACAACACAGCAACACAGCAGCACAGCAACACAGCAGCCTCAATGACCCACAATGCACATGTATACATCATGTCACAGATAGTTTGCTGAACCTGGCTGTGCCTGCTATCCAGCCCAAACCAGGTGTGTCCCAACCCGTCAACAGCCACGACCTGAAGCAGCTGCTAGTTCAGAAAGTTTCGCTATGAGTAAACAGTGCAAGTCAGGCATGCCTACTTTGCAGTCACAGCCTCCGGTCCTCACAAACCGCGACACATGCAGATCCGACCCAGCCAGATCGTATGGAGGATATACTGATTATGGTGTCACGTATGGACTATAGAGTGGCACCACCGGTACTGCTTTATCAGCCATATAAAATTACTGGTATACTGTGTTCACTCGCCATACAGGCATACCAGTAAAGTGGTTTTCCACGCCATGCAAACATACACGTACTGGTATACGGTGCTGCCACCTCTGTAGAATACTCCCATGCACAACATAGTGATTCCTGCATACTCACTGCATTGGGAAAAGTAGGTCTATAATGCAGCGGTGTTATATTGAGCATAGGGATAGTGCTGGCACACGGCATGCTGCAGCATCGCATATCATACATGCTACTGGTACGTGCTACTGCAGTATTGGCCTGCAAAGTAAGTTAGCAGCCATGCAGGTGCCATCACTGGCCAATTACCTGCACTTCACAGTCCTGCAGCTGTACTTCGTTGATCCAGGATGTGTCGGGCGGAGGAAGATCTCGAGGCAGCAGGAAGTCCACCTTTCTGCGATCCAGGACGCGCAGCTTCTTGTTGTACTGAACACAGCAGATGGGTACAAGTATGCACCGATCGGCGAAACCACCCACAGCACACGGTGTGCAAAGACAAGCACGATTACACACTCTGCTCTGTACAGTCTTGACAGCACCAAGGACACAGTCAGTGATCGAACAGCATTCCCACAGACAAAGCCACAGTATGCACCTCATACACGTGTCATGTGCATTCACTGCCATAGCTCCATTGTCATCACTTTCACTAAGCTGTAGCTGGTGTAACAGAACAGAAGAGGCACTAGGCACAAAGACAACTGACCAACGGTGAGGGTGTGCTTTACCAATCTCATACCTTTGCATAGTTCCATCGCTGGATGAAATGCCGTGCAAGGTCCGCTGCAACCGGGCCTAGTACGCACATGTGAACGTCATGCCACGGCAGTCGGGGTACCTCTTTCCTAGAAATGAGATCTGAGAATGTGCACAAACAAGCACCAGCGTGCGGCGGTAACACACATACAATAAGGTTGCACATTACACTAATTTTGTCCATCAAGGGTGCATCATTGCCTGCTAACAGCTAGCTTCCAAACACGTATTCTATCACAGTGAGTAGCACTACAGCATGCAGAGCAGCATGCAGTGCTAATATTAGCGCCAGGCTTTGGAGTTTCTCTACAAGTGCAGGCGTTTGACTTTCCCTGTGAATTTCTGCAGAACACGAGTGCACTAGACACTACGCTCAGTCATGTAGTAGTCATGAGTGGTAATAACAGCAACACCAACAACAGCTGCAGTAGCATATTCTTCTGATATAAGAAATACCAGTGTATAAGCTACCCCCCCCCCCCCCCAAGCCACTCTCTCTTGGAGGCAAGCTGGCCGTCTACTATCAAGATTGTCCGTTTGGTTTGTACCTGACTCCACGTTCGGGTATACCCTGTAAGGCGTATTTCATGCCACATTTTACATTTTTTTTCATGGCACGGCCTTTACTCCGGGAATATGTTGACTGCTGCTACGCGGCTGCATGGCAAGTGGGCCCATTATTCATCACTGCAACAAACAAAGGGCAAGCAGCAGCTTTCGGCCTGTTTATCAATGAAGAAACTCCATCTACTAGTACTATATTTACTTGCCAGTATCTACACTGACTTGGGAGTTATGTCGATGGTGTGGTGAGGTCAGCCAGAGAGAGCATGTGCTGGTGGAGATGGAATGGCTTCACTGCAACAAACAAGTCTTACCAATGAAGGGTTGGTGTACTTGTTCAAAATCTCTGACCAGCGGATTGGAGTAGTCCTGACCAGGAAACAAGTGATAATGACAGCATGCCTCGCCAGGCGGGCATATCTCACACACCGGGTTACCGTCATCCTCCTCTCCGGCGGGCTCCGTTAGCTCGTCCACCGACATGCCGCGCTGCACGGCTGGCTTGGTGGAGGCGCTGAATGGCACGTCGTTGCCGCTGTCTAGAGACGTGTTGGTGCGCACCAGCCAGCCGAGCTGCCGGGCCCGGGACCATGCTTTGGCCATGCGGCCACGCCGCTTGCGCGGAGATCCCGGCTCTTGATCTGGTGCCGCCACCGCCAACCCGGCATGGATTTCCTCGCCGTCATCATCACCATCTGCACCGGCAGCCTCACTTCTCTCGTTGATCACTGCCTCCACACCGTCCAGGGTGGACATTGCCACGCCATCACTCTCATCGTTCCCTCGACGCACCCGTCTGCGTGGCAAGTCGGTCAGCACATGCTGCGGATTGTCCCACCGACCATAGCAGAGATCCAGCCCTACAGGCACGTAATCACAGAGGAAAGAAGGCCGAACAGAGATGCACTGGTAGAATGTACCCATAGTTCCCACAGCTACCTATGGTGATGACTACTATAGGAGTCAGGGGAATGTTATACCAACAACAGCAACACATGACAAGGGAAGACAGAATTGATGCAACTCTCACCAGGTAATGTTTGGATAAGAGAGAAAAAGTCATAAGGGGAAGGGGGAGAGGAGGGGAGGAAACGAGGCCTGAGGGAATGGTAAGGGAGGGGAGGGAAAGAGGAGGGAAAGAGGAGGGGAAGGGGAGAGGGAGAAGGAGAGGAGAGGAGGGAAAGGGAAGGGGAAAGGCGGGAGGTGAACAACAACAAAAACGGAGCAGCAGCGACTTGAAGGTAGCACAGGTCATTTGTAACACACACGACTTACCACCAACAAAGGAAATGCACTGGTCAATGGACACCACCTTCTCGTGATGTCCCCAGTAATAGATGCCTTGTCTGCGATGGTCGGGATGTCGCAGTACCTATAACCAAAATAGTAGCACATTCACACAAATAGGATATTGGTATTGGGGATACTTTTTTCTCTTCGAAGTGCATCTAGGAAGGTGTGATCTTTGGAACATCGCTTGCAACCACTCAGCACGGGTTGCACTGGAGAGGCTCTGCCTATGGGTGAAGTTATGTTAGCGGATGTGTACATGGTGCGTGTCCTCCAGAGCTCACAGGTTGAGGGGACTAGGGTAGAGAGTGAATGAGAGATAGAGAGTAAGGGACCATCGCAAAAGTTCGCAGAAGCCCCTGAAACGAAGAGCATACGTTTGGGGGGGAGGGAGTCGGTGCGAAAATCGCAAACCGGGCTTCAATTCAAAAAAGTATTGAAGACATAATAAAGGAGCTGTAGGATTAGCGTGCCATCACAGCCGGCGTAGATCGCTTGTCAGGACGCGTAGTCCATTCATGCAACTGCGCGTAGCTGGCTGCCTGTACACTGTGTGTAGTCTAGTACCAAGAGTCCATAAAACGCGTGGTTTATGGACTCTTGCTAGTACTAGTACTAGCAGGGGTTCATAATCATAGGGTTTATGAACCCCTGCTGTGTAGTATATTATAATAATTATTATGTGTGAGCATCCAAGTGAAAAAATGAAGCCCATATTGTGACTGTCGTTTCGTTTGAGGGGGGAGGGAGGGGGGTCAGGCCCGAAACTCACGGTCTTCGTTTCGGGGGCTTCTGCGAACTTTTGCGATGGTCCCTAAGAAACGGTCCAAGAGCGGCAAGCACTGAAAAAAGCAGTGTCGGTGGCTTACCGTCACATTGCGATGCAGTCCCATCAGTCGGTTGTACGTGTGCAGGCTCTGGATTCCCAGTGCTTGTGGAATCTCCTTGTAGATGAGAATCGAAATCTTTACACCGGCTTCCTAGGCACAGCATGTTAACATAATAAGATCATGGCTTAGAGAGGATAAACGGGCAAGAGGATAACGTGTGCAGGCTCTGGATTCCCAGTGCTTGCGGAATCTCCTTGTAGATGAGAATCGAAATCTTTACACCGGCTTCCTAGGCACAGCATGTTAACATAATAAGATCATGGCTTAGAGAGGATAAACGGGCAAGAGGATAACCTTTGTTTCTAAAGTTTTGTTTCAGTCATGCTGCTTCTAATCCCCAAAGTTGCTTACAATGATTGCGATGAGCACTATTCAATGGAGTCAGAGACAAACGTAAACTCGCTCTAAGTTATACCAAAACATAATCCCCCCCCCCCTCCCCCCTGAACTGCAGCCCACTTTAACAGAGGTGAAATGATATGTCTACCATTTTGCATTTTTAGACATGCAGCCGGGTACAAGCAGCAAGCACTGCTTCCCAGAGGTTGGGCGTTTTTGAGTTTTAGAACACAAGATATTCGATGTTGACCAAACTCACGGCTTTGCGCTTCAGCAGATTGTCCAGGCGCCACTTCTCCATGTGAGCGATGTGCCGCTTCAGATACAGCTCTGGGCTCAGCCTGTCAAGAAGTATGGGACATGACACCTGCAGGTCATCATACCTACTACTGTACATGTACCTCTGATGTATCACGATCAGTTCAGTATTTTAAAAAGCAGATAATAATAATAATAATAATAATAATAATAATATTAACTGGTTTGAGGGAAAGAGACAAACGGGAAAAATCTGAAGAAAAAATTGACTGTCACCACCAGGACTCGAACCAGGGACCCTCGCTTGTAGCCAGCGATGCTCTAACCACTGAGCTATGGTGTAGTCGTCATCCCAGCAGAGACCGTTCAACATTTTCTTCAGACTTCGTAACTCACACTTCCTGTGAATCCACACAGGCGGGTGGGACGCAGCCCTCACTGTAACCCACACACTTCACGTACAAACTAGCACGTGGGGAGCCCCAAGTCATAAAATATTAACTGGAATAATAATAATACTAATATATGGATACGAGTTAAGAGTAACTCTCCATCACTGTAACATGATACTATATACAGTCAGAAAGTGCAATAACTAGGCACAAAACTGACAGAGTACTGAAACATTCGACGTCCTGACACCTAGCTTCAACACATCTCCTACACATCTCCACTTTCTGACTGTATATAGTATCATGTTACAGTGATGGAGAGTTACTCTTAACTCGTATCCATATGTCCTTTTCTCTTCCACATTTATTTATGGCTCAATAATAATAATAATAATAATAATAATAATAATAATAATAATAATAATAATAATAATAATAATAATAATAAACCCCCCTCGGGGACGGTTCAGCTTTTTGGAGCTCTGGTAGCCATCCGCCTCTGAGCGCGCTACCCGCTCCAATTCCTTTGAGTTTACCCTCATCCCTTTACTAGTAGCCGTTTCATCATTTTTGTGAAGTAGGTCTCAGCAAAGAGAAGGTCTAGTCTTGTTTTTTAGTGAACTGGTGTATGCCACCTCGCAGGAAATGGTCTGGTTCCGACAACCGTATTGCCTTGGAGTGCCATTTTCTGGCTGTATGGCCACAGAAGGCGGGTCACCGGAAGCGTCAACTTGACCTATGGATACAGCGTCGACCGGATGATATTATCTCGGAGCAGAACTTGGCTGGTCAAATTTCGCTAATTATCAAAAAATACCTTACATCGGTGGAGCAGGAGGAGATAGCCCGTCAGTTGGTGCAGCGTGGCGAGTTGCCTGTTGAGTTCATGACGCGCTTTGGCTGTGTGGTCCAGTTGCCTGCTACGACTAGTCAAGGTCCTGAATCTGTCAGTGCGTCTTCCACCGGCGCTGTTTCCCTGGATTCGGCTGCTGGGTTACCTGATGGTCCTGGGGCCTGTTTCACTGACACTGACAGCGAACCGCCAGCCTCTCTTGCACGTGATCATGTAGAATATTCCGCCTGCACCGATTCCGTTGACTCTGGTCCCAGTGTGCTAGTAAACGATGGCCTTGACACGTGCGCCGGCGTTCCACCGAGCTTACTCCGTGTGTTTGCTGCTGGGCCTCTGCCTTCATGTACTGAGTACTCCAGCACTGCGGGTGATGATGCATCATGTATTGAATCTGTCTATGCACACTCTGTGGGTAGTCCAGTGGCCTGCGTGCGTCCACAGGCTGTTTATGGCCTGGCAGGACCTCAGCCACCTGTGGAGGGCGACTTTGCTCCCAGTGGATCAACGCCTACTGTGGATGGACCAGCTGTTGGAGTGCCTGAAACAGAGCAAAGTCACTGCACAAGGGAGACGCCTTGTTCGCCTTGTAGTAATTCCAACCCTGATAAGCTTGGAGGCATTCTAACCAATCTCAGTGAATCTGGTATTCTGGGCCCTGGTGGTTTGAGTATGGATCTGGAGTGGTCAATCAGGCACCTCTGCATCAATCGCAAAATAACCACACCTGGTGACGTTGCCAGACCTCTGAGCGGTGTTTTAGTTGGAGTACAGAGCTTGCAGTTGACAGGTCGGCCAAGACTCACTGTCCCCAGAAAGGTCCCTAGCCGTGCACTTTCCAGCAATGTTGCCTTGGTCAACGGTGGCATGAGACTGTTCCTGTTGGGTTTACCCCTGCCTCTGTCTTTGGAATTCGCCAATCAGCTCACCTATGCAGCGGCGGTGCTGGTCTTGGTGGTGTCTGGTGTTGCACCTTGCCGTTTGAGTGGTGGTGATCATGGGAGGGAGACTGCGCCAGGCTGGTTGTTGCGGATACAACGCAAAATTGAGAATGTGAGGAAAGACGTGTCGCGCCTCACAAGTTTCATCCAAGCTGGAAACCCAAGATTGTTCACCAGATATCCTGTCAAGAGCAGTGATGAGGCCGCGGCTCTACTCGAAAGCAAGAAAATGGAGCTGCTGGCGCTTTCCGCCAGAATCAGACGGTATAAGGATAACATCAAGAGAAAACAACAGAATCAGGTATTCAGAGAGAACGAGCGCCAGTTCTACCGCTCTCTGGGGACACAGGAGGCTGACTGCAGTGACCAGACTCGGCCTGGTATGGGGGCGTTGCATGATTTTTGGTCAGGCATCTGGTCCGAGCCATTTGCGGTGAGCAGACATGGATGGATTGAACGGGAGGCTCTTGCCTATCAAGATGTCCAGCCACAAGAGGATGCAGTCATAACGCCGGAGTTGTTCCAACTGGCAGTTGGAAGGATGCCTCACTGGCGTGCTGCTGGGCCTGACAACATCAGACCATTCTGGTTGAAGAAGTTTAGTGCACTGCATCCTGCCTTGCTTCGCATATTCCAGCAGCTGTTGGATTCGGAAGTCGTGCCATCGCCCTGGTTCTCCCTTGGTGCAACCGTACTCCTACCGAAGAAAGGTGATCTGTCGAAACCCCAGAACTGGAGACCTATAACCTGCCTGCCTTCTATGTATAAACTTTTCACATCTGTAGTATCGGAGCTTATGTGGTCTCACATCACCGCTAACAGTCTGCTGGCCCCGGAACAGGTCGGATGTGCACGTGGCCGAGGAGGATGCACAGATCAGTTGTTGATCAACAACATGATTATTGAAGATGCCAAATGCCACCAGCGCTCCCTCAGTATGGCATGGCTAGACTTCCGAAAGGCCTTCGATAGCCTTTCCCAAGAGTGGATCTGGGAAATTGCTACCATCTACAAGTTCGATCCTAGGATCATCCGCACACTCCAAACGCTGTCGGAGCAATGGAGCACACAACTGTGCCTTAGCAGCGGTGTCAGCGAGCCAATATCCATCCGACGGGGTATCTTCCAGGGTGATTCTCTGTCTCCCCTGCTATTCTGCATCGGTCTCAACCCAATCTCAAACGAATTAGCAAGAAGCGGCATAGGATATCGTTGTGGACCCACGCGTGATTCCCTGTTGTCGCATCTATGGTACATGGATGACGTCAAGCTATTTGCCGCTAGCAGTACTGGACTGGACTCCTTGATCAACATTGTGGAGTGCGTTGGTGGGGCGGTTGGCATGCAACTATCTCCCACTAAGTGCTCGAAGATTGTCTGCCCGGCCGCTAAGCCAACCCAGGATGCAGAGCCTTCGTCAACCTTGCTAACAGAGTCGATCATTCATCCTCTGCAAGATGGCGCGGCGTACCTCTACCTTGGCCTGCGGGAATTCCTGGGAATCGAGGCTGGTGAAGTTAAACAATCTGCCATCGCTGAGTTCCGTCGCCGTCTTCGCTTGATCACGGATGCTTCACTATGTGCACCAAACCTCATCAGAGCAATCAACACCTACGTTCTGCCAGTGGTGTCCTATGGCCTTGGCACAGTCGTTCCTTGGACCGCGGATGAGCTCCGCTCGCTGGACAGGACAGTGAGGAAGGCTCTGACTGCTAGCAGGGCCCACCACCCACGTGCCTCAATCCGTCGCCTATATCTACCGCGGAGTGAGGGAGGTCGTGGCCTAGTATGCATCGTAGATCTCCATGACCGTACTTGCATCCGGCTCGCTCAGTACCTGAAGGATCGGGAAGATGTCCCTGCCCTGGCCGCTGTTCTCCAGCACCATGAATCACGTCCCTCTAGAAAATCAATACCAAAGCTGGCAAATACTGTCCTGCAGCGCCTTCGCCTGACGAGCCTGGACACCGCTAACAAAGAGACTGTTAAACAGGCCCTCAATGACAACCGCCGCCGTGAACTTCGAGCGATGCCTCTTCATGGTCGCTATTGGGCGCGTGTTGATGGTATCCTGGACATGCAGCTCTCGTTTTCCTGTTTCAGATCCCAGACAATGCGTCCTGAAACGGAAGGCTTTCTCATTGCTTGCCAGGATCAGGTGATTGCCACGAGAAACAATATGCGCCATATCCACAAGAGGCATGATGTCGTGGACCTCTGTCGTGTATGTGGTGCGCCCGGAGAAAATATGGACCACATCATCGCCTGCTGTCCAGCCCTGGCACGGACTGCATACATTGCCCGGCATAACTTTGTGGTCCAGGCCCTGCATCGTGCGCTGTGTAAGCAGCATGGGTTACCCAGCAGTAAGCAGCTGGTGCAGGTCACAAGTTCTGCCAGTTGCAAGCTGATGTGGGAGATTTCCATTCCCACAGATCGAGTAATAAAAGCGAACAGACCAGACCTGGTGCTGGTTCTGGATGATCGGGCACTGCTCTTGGACGTCAGTGTCCCATTGGACCACAGGGTCAATGAGAAGGTGCAGGAGAAGATCAGCAAATACCTGCCCTTGGCAGCAGAGCTGAGGAGGATCTGGAACAAAAAGATAACTATTGTTCCAGTTATCATTGGTGCTCTGGGTGGTGTGTCAGGAACGAGCCGCAGCCACATCTTAAGCCTTGGGCTCCACGCGTCCGTGATCCAGCGGCTGCAGCAATGTGCTATTCTGGGCACCCTGAGAATTGTGCGGTCGGTGACTGGTCATGGATGGGAGAGTGGCATGGTCGGAACGGTCGGTTGACCTTATGTTAGCCTGCCCGTAATGTCTCGTTGTGTCTCAGTCTGTGTGTTTTATGATTGTGGTGCATCATGTGCTGTGTGACGAGCCGAGAGGCGTGAATTTCTGCCATATGCCCCCAGTCATGTATTGTCTTTCTCTGCATATGCCGTTTTATCTCGTCTGAGTTTGTCTTGCTTGGAGTGTCCCATGTGCAGCATGCTTGGTGTTTACTACTTGAGTAGTTCTGTTATACATGACTGTGATTTTTTGTGAGTATCGAAGTTGGTATACTTGAATTTTCTCTCATGAAGTTTATCAAAATTTGGTTCAGGATTTTCTTTTATCTTCATTGATTGGTGCTTCACCCTTGGGTCATATGGATCCCGGTGCTGTGCTTCATGCCTCCTTTCAAGCTTTCTTTTTCTGCTTTGGGAGTGAATAAAGTCGTCATAATGAGAGAGAGAGAACGATTAAACGAAGACTGGAACGAACAAAGCCAATGGAAAAAATATTATGGAGATGCGATTCCGTTGGAAAATGTGCATCCCACCGCCTCCAAACTACTGTTTGAATTATTTATCGTGGAGGCACACTTTCGTACTGAGCCGCCGTGGCTTGGTATGTCGATGCACATTTTCTAACGGAATCGCATCTCCATAATATTTTTTCCATTGGCTTTGTTCGTTCCAGTCTTCGTTTAATCGTTCTCTCTCTCTCATTGCGTCTCGGACTCATTGTTCAAGGGAAAGAAAACGTTTGATAGAAAAAGTGTCTACTGAATTGTGTGGATTTGCGTCGTTGCATGCGAATACGTATTACGAAACTGTTTTTCCCACCGCCTCCAAACTACTGTTTGAATTATTTATCGTGGAGGCACACTTTCGTACTGAGCCGCCGTGGCTTGGTATGTCGATGCACATTTTCTAACGGAATCGCATCTCCATAATATTTTTTCCATTGGCTTTGTTCGTTCCAGTCTTCGTTTAATCGTTCTCTCTCTCTCATTGCGTCTCGGACTCATTGTTAAAGGGAAAGAAAACGTTTGATAGAAAAAGTGTCTACTGAATTGTGTGGATTTGCGTCGTTGCATGCGAATACGTATTACGAAACTGTTTTTCCCACCGCCTCCAAACTACTGTTTGAATAATAATAATAATAATAATAATATCTTTATTAGGATGCCCCAGAGGCTTGTCGCTTATCAAGGGGTTCACCGCTTTGAAGGATGTACATGTACATGTATGAGCTAAAGTGAAAGTAGATCCAGTACATTATTGTAGCTCTTGCATTATACCTCCATTCTCCTTGTCCCTCCCTTATCAACCCTAGAAGAAAGAAAGAAAAAAAACATTGAAGACTAGCATTAAAGCTGCTAGTACTCTGAAAGAAATGCTAACAACATGATCGGCAGTCTAGTTTCACGTACCACCATCCAGCAATAAAGATCTCATAGCGAGCTGAGTTGATAGCATCGGCCACGGTACTGTAGTAGTCCTCTGCATCCACAAACCTGTCACACAGAGCAGTAGAAAACAAAACCAAAGCTATAGTGGTGGCAAATGAAATCCGACCCCTGATTGTTTTGTGCTCGAGTACAGCACCGATTCCAGCGGTCTCTTTTTGGTAGTGTTACACGCGCGTGCTGGGTCTTTGCAATGTGAGTGCACCGAGTTGGGGTCAGATTTCAGTTGCCATCACTGTAGGATGGGCATGGACATGCAGAGGCATGTGGAGGACACAGACTGTCCCGGGTGGCATGCCGCATACAATGACTGTACTGTCGAAGCGCACCAGCCCCATGAAGTAGCACACCAGCCACATGCAGTAGCGCACCAGCCACATGCAGTAGCACACCAACACACGATGAGTCTGCTGTTTTCTAATCCCGTTTGAAAGATGAGTGTGCAGCTACGCCACAGAAATCAAATTCGTCTTGAAGTATAACTTTCACACATGGAATGAGAGAGGCCTCACCTGAATGTGTAGTGCTCCTGGAAATCTAGGATATCCTAGTCTAGGCATGCTGCAGAAATGTAGCAATACATGCCAGCCCCCCCCCAGTCCTCACCCCAGACATACCAGAGTGCCTTGCTGTTCTCCCGCACGGGTGCAAACGAGTCGTAACGCTGCTGCCTTGTCCAGATGTCGCCGGGGCCGCGGCGCATCTTCTCAATTGCTATGAACCACTCCCTGCAAGATCAAACAGCCGGTGGTCAATAGGATGAGAAGAATCAGAATCGACTGTAATGGGGAAGATAGTGAACTGATAATGCACTCGTTGACTGGCTTGCCTGCCATCAATACAGGCCGATGCCTGCGTGCAACGTCAAGACACATTCAAAGTGAACTAGCTCTATTTGGTTACAGATGGATCCCAAGTGGAAAAGGCAGGCTGCTTTACCAATAATTATATAGTCTTTGGTTGAAACCACAGCAACCACAGCACACAGTGTAGGAAACTGTCACTCAATCCAGTGCATTGCATGACGCTGACTCACCGTGCCTGTCTTTCACTCCAGCTCTGAATTAGAAGATCTCTGCAGTGCACAAACAATGTAGACATGACATGACAGAGATACACACACCAACATAGACATAATGACAGAGATACACACACTAACATAGACATAATGACAGAGATACACACACCAACATAGACATAATGACAGAGATACACACACCAACATAGACATACAGTTTGAAAACTCTGCACCATGTGCAGATAAGAACAAATATGCATGCACTTTGGCCTAGTATCAATACGTTTGAAGGAAGGAGAATACATCACAACAAACTACAACTTAGCCATCTATAGGCTGGTTACACTCCTATCATTACGTGACTGAACTGAGCTGCTCCGCGGTATTGATATGGAGAGACCCGGTTGAATAACACTGGTAACACTGGTCGCTAGATCACCACACAGTAACACGCTCTTAGAACATCAGAGTACAGGTCTACCCTCATTAGTACGGCATTGGGTACAAGACAGGTCTACCCTCATTAGTACGGCATTGGGTACAAGACAGGTCTACCCTCATTAGTACGGCATTGGGTACAAGACAGGTCTACCCTCATTAGTACGGCATTGGGTACAAGACAAACCTCATAATAGTAGACAACGATCAAAAATCACCTGGCGCCTGAAGCGCACACGAACACGTCCGGATAGTAGATAATACTCGTATATATAAGACAAACAATTTGAAACCCCCGGGGTTATCTACTAACGAGGGTAGACCTATGGTACGCGTTTGGCTGACCTGGACAGGTTGTGTATTTGAATGCCGTGACGTATGCCAGCAGCCGGCGCCAGGAGCATAGCAGTGAACTCCTTGTCCATGAGCATCACACCGCTCACACGTCCAGTCTGTTGTCTGTTGGACGCAATCACGGCAAAACACCAGCAACATAACCCAAGACAGGTAACTGCGTGCAGTTTGCATAATGCCGCCGCCGGCAATGGCTTGCAAACATACCATAGTGTACAGCTAGCGGCATCAGATTCTAGTCTTCACACAACCATCACCAGGGGGCGTCGGAAGGTATTTTAGAGTGCTACGGTCATCCACCTGAAGTAAAAATTACTCGCAGGGTTGGGGTGACTTCTCTGAAAAATTTCAAAATTTAGAGCCCAAATCAGTGCTTTTCATTGATTCGGGGGTAGCTGGGGCAAAGAGTGGTACGGTCAATACCGTCGTGACCGTAGCGTGTCCGACGCCCCCGACCATCACTATAGACTGTTGGACTGTTCCTCCTGACCTGGGCACTGCCGGGCCTTCTGTTTTGACCACACATACGTACAGTTCACCGATCATGGACATAACGTTAAGTGATGGCCATCATCATTGGCCACGTTGAACTGTAAACTGCTCCCATCAACTCACAAGCAGCCAGCCACCTACATGTAGGCCGCACACCGTTTTATATGTTTTCCAAAGGAGCGATTATTTCTTATCACGTATACAGCATTCTGTGCAGAGCACTTGTATTACAATGATACCTTTTTAAGTGTGTATGCAACAAAACTGCCTGCTCAAAGCATCCATACTGTGACCATTGTGGTGTCAGATAGAGTTTATTCACAACTAGCAAGGAGGACAACAAACGAAGAACAACATTCCAAGCAGTGTGCGAACACAAAAGGGAAGTGTGTACGAACACCAAGGAAAGTGTGTACGAGCGCATATGGAAGCAGGAGCTCTAGGCGGGTGCATACGGGGTGCGGGAGCTGCACCATATACGGAAGTATGCCATATACATCATGCCCCTCCTAAGATAAAAACGTACAAGTGTTTATCTAATCAACAAAAAATAATGTGAAAATTGCATGTGCGTAGCAAATGACATGTCGCGGAGCAGCAGCAACTTCCAACAGACTTGTAAAAGGGATAATTGCAAAAATTATATACATGAAGGTTTTCAACTGCGAAACAATGGGAATGACAATTGAATAGGTACAATGGACATCAACAACTGAACAGAGTGAGTGTTAATTGTACGATTGTCCACGCGTTGAAATAATGTTAAAGGGGAAATTCTGTCGCCGGGGACGTTGGCTTGTTCGAGGTGGTACCTGAACAGTTGACTGTGGCGACGACTGAGTCACAGGGACTGCTTGTGGTGCAGCGTCGGGTACGGGAGACGATGCAGGCATGGCTGTTGAAGCTGGAGTAGGAGGACGGTACGGGCGGAGGTAGCGACGGTTGCGCCAATATACGCGTCCACTCATTAGCTTGACGTAGTAGTCGCGGTGGTCACCGATAGCCACGACAACGCCGCGGGAAGACCACCGTTTTGTCTTCGGGTGCTGAATGTCAACGTGCGTCCCGATAGACAAGTGGGGAAGCTCTCGGTGAGGCTGACTGGGAGCCTGGTTTACTCGATCAACATCATCCATGTCAGATGCGGTGTCTTGCCAGTGGGAGTCGAACTGGCTCCATTGGGCGAGAACGAAGGAGACGAGTGGGCGACCATACAGTAACTGGGCAGGACTCTTTCCCGAAATGCCGGGAGTATTGCGCCACTCGAGAAGGCCACGCTGGAAAGCATCGGTGTCTAGATTACCGTCATTGGTAGTCTTTTCCACCAGGTACTTCATTGCCTTTACGGCTGCTTCCGCATGTCCGTTCGACTGTGGGTAGTGAGGGGACGACTTGATATGACGGATTCCCCAGCGCTCGCAAAATTCAGCAAATCTGTGAGACGCAAACTGAGGACCGCCGTCCGTTGAAATGACCTGTGGTACGCCTACGTCTGGGAACCACCTGCGGAAATGACGGATGACGTCAGCTGACGTGGCTGAGTGACCAAGCTTGGCTATGCATGGCCATCCGGTTAAGCGGTCGACGAATACCAAATACTCGCAGCCTTGGCAACTGAAAAGGTCAGCACTAACACTTTCGAATGGCAAAGCGGGCTTGCGGTCAGAAATGGGCGGTTCGGCAGACTGAGACGGCTGAAATTCACGGCATGCATCACAGCTGCGGACTAGCGTTTCTAACTCACTGTTCATTCCGGGCCAATACACTGTCTGACGGGCACGTCGTTTGGTACGGGTCAGACCTTGGTGGGCTGCGTGAAGGTCGATCAGCGTTGACGCACGCAGAGAGGCTGGAACGACTATGCGTAGACCTTTCAGGACTATGCCATTGTCGGTGGACAAATGTTCACGCACGTTCCAATACGCACGAAGAGGCTCGGGCAGCTGCTTTTGTGCTGAGGGAAATCCGTTCTGGATATACCCGAGTAGCGTCTGGTAGTCAGGGTCAGATGCTGCTGCGGCACGGAGCTTAGCGAACTGGAGACTCTGGGGACCACCTTGGAGTAGACAGATACGGATACTGCGGCAGGACAGTGCTGGATCTTCTCCAAGTTCATCATCACTAGTCGGGATTGATACAGGATGTCGTGAGAGGGCGTCTGCGAATACGTGCTCTGAACCCTTACGCCACGATGCTTTCACTTGATACGGACGAAGTTTCATGATCAATCGGAGTAGACGAGAGTTCTCAATCTGGTCAAGGGTGTAGCTGTTGATAATCGGTACAAGCGGACGATGGTCGGTGATTAGTGAGAACTGTGCACCAGATAGATACAAGCGGCACTTGTGCACTGCCCAGACGACTGCGAGGCACTCGAGCTCGATTACAGCGTACCTTGTTTCAGCGTCAGATAAGAAACGACTTCCACACTGGATGAGGTGCCATTTCTGGTCATCATGCTGTTGCCATAGGGCAAATCCGAGGCCATTCTTCACAGATGCATCAGTCTCGAGACGGAGAGGCTTGCCAGGCTGGAAGAAAGCTAACACTGGTGACTCAGTCAGGATGGCTTTGACGGCTTCGAATGCTATGGTGTGCTGCTGATCCCAGGCGAACTCATTGCTGGTTTTCAGGAGTGGGCGAAGCGGCTCACTTAGTTCAGCAATGCGTGGTGTGAAGTCGCTGCATTGGTTGACCAAACCGAAGAACGAGCGGAGGTCAGTGCGGTTGCAGGGCACTTCGAACTGGCGAATGGCAGATGTCTTGCTACCATCAACGGCATAACCATCAGCGTTGATAACGAATCCGCAGAACTGTACTTCACTAGCACCGAATACAAACTTGTGTGGGCTGAGCGTAATGTGATGCTCACGGGCACGGTGAAGGACGTCACGAACGTGGGTGACGTGGTCTTGAAAATCGACGTCATGTACTAGGCCGTCATCAACGACTTTGACGAAGTTAGCGAGGCGGTCAAATGCTGCGTCTGTGCGGCAGTTGAATTCGTCACCTGCTGAGGACAGACCTTGAGGGTTGCGGCAATAGCGATACCGACCCCAGGGCGTGATGAATGTCGTGAGCGGCTTCGAGTCGTCGGACAGGGGTATTTGCCAGTACCCATGACGAGCGTCGAGTGTGGTGAAGAAACGGGCTTTACCAATAGCTGTCACGGCGTCACGCGGAGTACGAGCTGGGTGTGTTGGTCGGCAGACTTGGTCGTTGAGTTTACGCAAATCAACGGTGAGGCGCTTCTCGTTAGAAGACTTCTTATCTGCGATGACGATCGGGTGGCACCAGTCTGACGGTTCAGTGACTGGCTCAATAATTCCATTGATCACCATATCGTCCAGTTGAGATTTTATCTGGTCTCGGAATGCGAATGGGATTGCGCGGGCACCATTAACACGAGTTGGTGTGGCGTCAGATTGAAGCTTTATCTCCATGGGAGGACCAGCCATGGGCTTCAATTGGGAGTCGTCGAATACATCAGCAAACTCTTGCATCAGCTGAGCCTTAACATCAGCAATGTCTGCACTACTGGGTTCGGACTTCACACGGGAGATCCGCGGCCAGGACTCAGGGAGAATGCCAAGAGCACGGAGAGATTGGCATGACAGCAACGCCTCATCAAGGTCTTCATACACATGAAGTACCGTGGTGTGCTGGGCTGAGCCAATGGAGAGCGTGGCAGAAATCTTTCCCAGGCTAACCAGAGAGGTGCCGTTTGCTGCTGAAACAGTGTCGGAATCGACGGCAAGGTTCTCAGGGAAGCCACCTAGCTGGGAAAGATGTGCTGGCCCAATGGCGTCAACATCGCTGCCGGTGTCTGGAATCCATGTCATGGCTTCGGCGGTCGGTTCTGTGTTGAGCTGCGTGTGGACACTGAGTTCTAGACCATGTCGAACAGAGGCACGTTGCAACTTAAGTTGGCCGACTTTGCCGGATGCTGTTGGTTTGCCTTTGTGCGGGCACATGGACTGGAAATGTCCGACACGTTGACATCCGTTACATTTGCGTGACTTCGCAGGACATGTGCCTTTGGTGTGGGGACTGCGACCACAGCTGGGACACTTGTCACCTGCGGGCTTGTCTGGTGTAGACTTCACAGGTGCGGGCCGGCTCGCCTTCTGCTGTTTATAAGATGATTTCTTAGCTGCGTGCACGTGACCACTGGAGGGAATGCCAGAGGAAGTTTGGCAGGCTGCTTCCTCAGCACGGCAGAGCTTCACGGTTGCCTCCAGATCCAAGTTCTGGAGGGCCAGCAGCTTGTGACGCACGTCGTCCTCAAATACGCCTGTCACAATGCGGTCACGTAGTATGTCGTTGTTGAATTTCAACAGGCCTGCCTTGCAGGGGTTGCACATCGCCTGGTTGCAGTTATGACATACTGAACACCCAGAAAAGTCACACGCGTGAAACAGTTCACGGAGGGCCGTATAAAAGGAGTCAAATGATTCCCCACGCTGCTGCCGTCTCTTGTAAAATTCGATTCGGTCGAGCAGCGGGTTCCTCTGCCGCCGGATGTACTGCTGGAGGACCGGGATGGCATCAGCAATGTCAGCGTCTTCCGGGAAGGCAATAATGCCTTCTCGGATGAAACGGCGCAGGTCCTCATCTAGGGCCTGGCGGAACGCTGACATACGTGTATGGCGGTCGTGGCTGGCAAGACATTGGCATTGCGCATAGTCACGCCAGGCCTCCTCCCAAGCGGTAAATTCTGCCATTGTGGCAGTAGATAACAATACTGGTCGTTCTGCGGACACAGACTTGGGTGCGGGTGGGGTTGTAGAACTAGTACTGGTCTGGTTGGACATCCTTTCCATCAGGGTCTGAAACTGTTGATCTCGCAGTGCAGACGCCTGTGCCTGAGTTGTCAGGAGCTGCAGGAGCGTGGCGACGTCAGGCACTCCATTACCAGAAGGTGCTGCGGGATCGCTGCTCGCCATGCTGATCACAAATGCTCGTTGTGACAGCTCACACGACTACGTCCTACGAAATAAATTGAACAACACTCCTATCTAAAACGAACTAACAAACTAACTGCAGGGTAATCTAATCCAAATCCAACGGAGTGCTACACTGCTACTGGGCCAGGTAAGACACTACAAACTAGGTTGGTGTGGACAGAATGGAAACTACAGGACGAAATGTTCACTGCGCCATGTGGTGTCAGATAGAGTTTATTCACAACTAGCAAGGAGGACAACAAACGAAGAACAACATTCCAAGCAGTGTGCGAACACAAAAGGGAAGTGTGTACGAACACCAAGGAAAGTGTGTACGAGCGCATATGGAAGCAGGAGCTCTAGGCGGGTGCATACGGGGTGCGGGAGCTGCACCATATACGGAAGTATGCCATATACATCAACCATCTGGCAATCATTCAGCCATTACTCACTTCACAAGCATCAGAAAGCTGTCCTTGATCACCAGCCACCTGAAGAAAGGTACAAATTATGAGACAGATGGATGGATGGATGGGTGGATGGTGGAGAGATAGATGGGTAAAGGAGATGATGGATGGATGGATGAAATAGATGGGTAGAGGGGATGCATGGATGGAGGAGTTGACGGAGGAGTGGATGAATAAATGGATGAATGGGTGGGTGGATGGATGGATGATTAAAGTGAGAAATGAACAAAGACATGCAATGTCTGCATGGCAGACAAACAGTCAAACAGCCAGACAGAGAATAAGCCCATACTGAGGATATCATCAATAGTCTAGCAAATGTTTGCAATATCACCACACCACGCCACATCACACCATGCACCTACATGCTGTGCGGATCGGTACCTTTTCGTCCAGCGGTACGCCTGGCTAACACACGGGCAGCAGCAGAAGCCACAGCATCCAGCGCTGTCACATCCGCACACCTGCAGCTCAATGCGGTAGCCACCACCGTGCTTGCGCACTATATCCTCTCTGATCAATACAGCACGGGCACACAGACGCATACACGGGCACACAGACGCATACGCGGGCACACAGACGCATACACGGGCACACAGACGCATACAAACAGGCACACACATGTACTTCAAGTACTTGGAAGTATACACACCCGCCGTCAAGGTCATCGAGATAATTGGATTGACAACATGGCAAGCACCTGTCCTCTTTTTTTTAAGAATCTCATCCCTCCTCACATCCCCGGTATCTAATCCAAACTGTTTGACTAAATGGTTTCTAGGCCAACATACCCACGCACTTGGACTACCAGAACACATTTGATGGAGATTACCAGACCAAAATCACCTGCAAAACCGGGGCAAAACTGTAGAACACATACCGGCACATGAAGTATTAATTTTGTTTAGGACCGGGGAGAAGTACGTGCTGGCTTGTCAAGATCGACGTTCGCTTCCTTGATACATGTGACGAAAGCAGCATTTCCAAAAGTCCAGCATGTTTTAAACATACACGTAGGTCAGTGTTTAGAAGACTTACTTCCCCTTGACCTTGCCAAGATCATCAAAGAAGGAGTACTTGCTGACCTCCAGGAACTTGAGCTAAATAACAGTGTGTAAGGACACAAAGGCCAACACGACAAGATCACACTACCTTGCCACAGTACTTAGCGTGTTACTTCCTCTGAACAGTCGAATCACCGCTCATCTTACCAGACTACTGGAGGAGCTCTCTTTGCCCCATTGTACCCCATTTATAAATAGTAAATACACACATGAGATTGTCATTGTTGACCTACCGATGCTGGGTGGTTGCGGAAGACTTCAATTTCGAGCACTTTTTGCAGGTACTCTTGCAGCCGCTCCTACAGCAGAAAATTGTCAACACCAAATATAATTGTTAGCATACAGTGGCAATAAGCTGGCTTGATCTCCAACTCATAAAAAAGGAGGCAATGATTTAGCTTTGCAGAGAGTTCAACACCCCCCCCCCCCCCCACACACACATACCACCTCCACAATACACATACACAGAGCAAAGCCTACAGATACCTAGATCCAGCCACTTACGAGCCAACTGGACTGAGTAGCAAGGCATAATAAGACGGCACACGGCACTACAGAACAATCACAAATCAATGGCCTGGTTCGGGCTAACCGTACCTTCTTTGCATCGCGGTGGTCTAATCGCACAGGCAGACGCGCCAGGGGAACACGACTGTGCCGAGAAAACCTGTGGTGACGAGGAACACATACAGCCCCAGTTTGCAACTTCAACATACTCATCGGGTGGAATGTCTAAATTACAGACCACCAGGGACCAAACACGTAGCTTGTCCTGTACTGAGGGAGGTGCTCCCATCACAGCCTGAATGCACAACTTGATCGAAGTCAATCACAGCAAAACCTGTCAAGATGACCACCACCAATAAGGGGACCACTCAGACACCTAGGACCAAGGGATGTCCAAGTAAAACCGGTCAAGCGGCGATCACTCTAGTAAGACGACCACCTGTCCTAGAAGACCAAATTAATGATCCAGGACAAAAGGGTACCGTATCACTTCCAAATGAACGATAAGACCCTGAATAATGGGACCACCTGCACACGACGGGGACCAAATAAGGGGGGGGGGGGGTGAGTGGTCGGCGTAGACAGGTTTTACTCGATGGGGGGGGGGGGCTGTCAGTGGTTGGCTTAGACAGGTTTCACTCTATGGGGGGGGGGGGGGGGGGGCTTTGAGTGGTCGGCGTATACAGGTTTCACCGTATTGCCAGTCAAACGACCCTGGATAAGAAGACCACCTGTACGTGGGGACCACTTCTGCAAGGCCTTTTGAGCGATCAGCCTAGACAGGTTTCACTGTTGTTGGAACTGAGCACATGGGTTCTGAATGTGTAGCTTTACTGCACTGTATTTAGGTGGGAGGTGTTTCGGTTCGCTGTGGGATATTCTACTGCACTCTGCTGTCATACAGATAGGTCCCTAAAAGGATCCATTCTTCATATAAGATGAGTGCATTGCCGACAAATTTGACAGTTGCCGAAGGTATCAAACTATTCCTCGGACACACTTGCCCACAAAGGCCGCTTCTCCTGAGGTACACAATCTTTACAGGCATGCAGTTAGCAGATCCTTGAAGTAAATGCCATGTATCTGCTATATGCACACGTTTGAAGTGCATCTACAGTCAACTTTGCTAATAACGATTGCGGATATAACGACAATTCGCGAATAACGACAGAATTTCCATGCCCAGAGCAAAGTCTCAACAAACTGTAATACATTATAACGAGACTTCGGGTATAAGGACACTTCGCAAATAAGGACAATTTTCTGATGCCCCGCCGAGTGTCGTTATACGCAAAGTTGACTTCAAATACATGCATGTTTCATGCACAGCAAATATATCTTAAAGCCGATCAGCAACGCATCCCACGTCGTGCCAACTCACTTTGACCGGAGCCAGAGCAAGCGAAGGTCCGAATCCAGCTTGATGAAGTGCTTGTAACGCCGTCTTACTTCCCACTGGTACGGACCATGGGTAAGCTTGATTGTGTACCTGCAACGCAACACCCGATGATTGCGTGATGATGTAAAAGACGTATGCCACAGAACACGGTAGGTTATTTCGAATAGATCATATTTTCGTTGTAGTGAAATGATCGGTTTATAATCCCCCCAATCTTGCTACTAATATTTGGTGCTGAAATACAGTACATGCGTGAGTCACCAGACATGCACAACATATGCGCAACCAGCATTCACTCGATTACTAAACTGAGAAAACACGGTCAGAAAAGCATGCAAGAGCCCACACATGATTTATGACGTTAGATAACGATAGAGAGAGAGAGAGAGAGAGAGAGAGAGAGAGAGAGAGAGAGAGAGAGAGAGAGAGAGAGAGAGAGAGGGGGGGGAGAGAGAGAGAGAGAGAGGGGGGGGGGGGGAGACGGAGAGAGAGAGAGAGAGAGAGGGGGGGGGGGAGACGGAGAGAGAGAGAGAGAGAGAGACGCTGAGTGAGTGTGACAGTTAGATAGATGGAGAGGTACATAGATACTTCAAAGTAGATAGATAGGGAACAGAGAAGAGAAGAGAAGAACAGAACAGAGGTGTGCACGGGAGCAATGACACCATGCACTCGCTTACAGCACGGGGTCAAGCGGATGGTGCAATGGATCGCGTTCTGCCATGGGGATCTCCACTCTGACCGGCACACTTCTCTTGAACGCACTTGTGTGTTCTACCTCTTCCCAGAGAGACTCAAACGCATCCACAAGCTGTTCACAGGCACGCCACAAGCACCAACATCAATGTGCATTGCACACTCACTTAATCTTTGGTATCTGTCAACACGCCTTGGACGAAGACTGTTCAGGTATTTTCCCTACTCCGCTACCCACTGTCACCAGCCATGACCTTGCAAGTTTGGTGATGCAACAATGGAGAAAGAAACCCATAAACCATCTGAATCAGACTATGCTCCCAAATATTGCTTGTACAATTGAGTTCCACAATGCCCAAAATGTATTGAGTACAGAAGTGCCCTGCATCATAGTGTATGGGGTAAACCTTGCACGGGTACCACAACTGAACAGTCACTGGGATTGGTGGTACTTCACACGGTCACTGCGACTGGGGCAACCCATTCAGGCTAAGTCTTTTTAAAAGGAAGAGGCCCATTCACCCCTGGATCCGCCACTGAATTGTGTGTGTGTGTGTGTGTGTGTGTGTGTGTGTGTGTGTGTGTGTGTGTGTGTGTGTGTGTGTGTGTGTCTATAATATGCACACGTACATGTACAGTGGGTATCAGTTATGGCGTGGGTGTTTGAAAAGCAACTTTCTATTCTTATTTCCGATATTTCTTTCACACCGATAAATCAAGTGTGACATATCATATGCATGTGCGCAGAGGCAGGAAGATCATCATACATAGATGTACAGTCAGTATCGCCTATAGCGTTGGTGTTTGATTTTGAGCATTTTATCACTACAAGCGATGTATTACTATGACCGATACTGCATGTACTGTATGCGAGTGGGGTATGCGAGTGGGGTATGCGAGTGGGGTATGCGAGTGGGGTATCAAAAGACTCAGCGCACTGTACACATACACACTGCATAGTTGGTTGCAGCGTACGTCCTGTCTACTCCTACTGTGAGAAATGCACCCTATCATGCCTATGCAGCCAAGGCTCCTGACACACAACGTCAGCATGTCCTCACAATGGAGGTATTTTGGACAACTTAGGGTGCATTCTTATATTCTCTAGCTTCTAGAAGAAGAAGAAAAGAGAAGTCGAAGAAACTGGGATTACTCAAGAACGGGTCTCGAAGAATTCGGAGATATTTTGCACATGTCAAGCAAAATGAAGTGTCAAAGGGGCCGCGATCTTGAGTGATGAATGTATGTGCGTATGCGAAAAGGGAAATGCGTACACTCATGATGAACACGTGGCTTTTAGTCGTAGTTCGCATGCGCTGATCCCAACCGCGGGAATCTCCAAGTTTCAACCACCTCTGAAGCTTGGAGAGCTTGGAGAGCTTTGGAGAGTCTCCAACTTTTCCGAGAGGATTTAAGAACGCACCCTAATACTACAAGTAGAACTCACGAAACAACATGATTTCACATCAATTACTTTAACCGATGCAAAAATAATGTAGTAGAGGTCGTTTGAAAATTGAATTTGATCACTATAGGCGATATATTACAATAGACGATTACTAGTCAAGACGATTATTACTATAGACGATTACTAGTCAAGACGATGATTACTATAGACGATGATTACTATACGCGGTATCTGTGTATACTTAGTCATGGCAAATGAAAATGAATTTGAAAAGTTGATCACTATAGCCGCCAACCATATAAGTTATAGGCGATACGTACTGTACGTACATGAACATGCAACGTAGTGCTACTGTGCATGCGGCTGGTCATAGTCCCATAGGCTTACCATGCGGCTGGTCATAGTCCCATAGGCTTACCATGTGGCTATGCAACACGAGTTACATGACTACAACAGTTGAACCTGCAGCACTGTGATGCAATGCGAGTCAGATCAGAACTGGATTGGACGGATGTTATTACTGCAGGCGATACACTTTGTACTAATCTGGCACATTTCGCTATACAAAGTCCATTCTTAGGACCGATATATTCTACTATACGATAAAATTGCTTGTACTTCAGTAAGAATAAATGTGCCCTTGAAACCCATGTTATGATTATGAAAACAGGAGAGTTCATTCTTGTAGGCAGTATGTTCTTTTACACGACCGCGTTATAACCGATATGTACTATACATGTGTAGGGGGGGGGGGGGGGGGGATTGCCCCGTAGCAGAATAGTGCATTGCTTACACTTGGCATGTGTGCATGAAAAATGGATGACCCTGCTGCCAGCGTCAGTGGTGCTTCTCATTGGCTGACGTAGGATTGAAGCGACTTCAACTTCAAGTGAGACACTGCATTCTTTTATGAAATGCGGTGGCTGCAACCCAGACCGCATAAGGCCATTATGGAGTGTTGTGTGTTTGGCCGCTTCTGGAGTATCAGTAAAAGAAGTGACTATAATCCTTTGCTATGTGTATTCACCCATCACTTTTTATACACTCGTCCGCTCTATCTTTTGCTTAGTTCACATTCGACGGGGCTCAATGCATGAGACGCGACGTAAGGAAAGACGGCAACCGACTGGGCGGTCTTACGGCGCCCAGCGTGAACGCCAGGAACGGTCCTAGCTCAGGAACCACATAAAGGACCTATCCTTGAAATAGCCCAGGACAGTACTATAGGTGTGAGATCGAGATTTACCAGTTTTGCAGAACAGCAACGAACAGACTCTGCTTAGATAATCGTGATGGACTCAGTCCTGTTTTGTATTTGTAACATTATTGTATAACACACCCATTGTTAGCTTCCAGGCCTGGGTAGATAACGCACTGCACCATGATCTCAAATAATTCATTGTGCACTCACATCGTCAACCCAGGCACCTGCACTATCGTCGTCGACCATCAGTGAGCGTCGCCGTGTCATTTGCGTAGATTCGCCAATGCGGGCAAACGTCGCAGCCGCCGGCCCAGGCCCGCTCCACGCTGCCATTTCAGTCTCGACTCGCACGACTGGCCCAGAATCGGCCTGAGCATGTAGTATTGCGGGTGGCGGAGGTGATTCCCTGCACTCGTCTCCCCAACGTCGCTAACCGCCGTCACTGCCGTCCCGACCCAGCTGGCCAGTGACAGCGATAATCTTTTCTAGCAAAGCGACACTACTACTAGTACTAGGTAGAGAGCTGGAAGACGATGCAGGTTGGCTAACGTTACAAAATATACATGATGTAGGCCTGCCTAGCATCGCTCCTGTCCATCTCCACTTTCATGATCTCCTACTCCTAGGCTAGTCCGACTCCTAGTCCTAGATCCTACATCGAGTCACTCGATCGCCTTGTTCCACAAATAAAAGATTGTTTTCGATGCTCTGATCTGATTGATGTTGCAAACGCTGGACTTGCATTCACAACATTTATTACAATTAGGGGTCGTCCACAATTATCGAACTTTTTTCACAAAACGAAATAATTTCGTTATGGGGTGGGAGGGGGTTGACCAATTTCGTTTCAGAAAACATTGATACATGTGCATGCCCATAGGATCAGTTACACACTTGCAACTTTTGTTGTATTATGCATCCATATGTCAAACTTTTTTTACGTACTGAGGGGGAGGGAGGGAGGGGTTGGGACTAAACTAAAATAATTCGTTTGGTGAAAAACGTTCGATAATTACGGACGGCCCCTTATGTAGATATTCTTTGCATGTAGATCTACTAACATTTTTTAAATTTCTACCGGCAATTAATTATGTAGAAGTAGATTCCGTAGAGTCACTTGTACTTTTAAAACACTTGGTTACACAAACTAATAGTAATACTTACAGTGAGGGAAGACGTACAACCTAACCTCCTACTTCCTACTTCCTGACCTAGGATCCGGCCTCTGCTGACTGCATGCTGGGCAATGCTACACGAACACATGACATGTGACAGTGTGTAGTAATAAAGACAGAAACCACTAAACTGACTAAGGGGCCGTCCGTAAATATCGAACTTTTTTCACCAAACGAATAATTTTAGTTTAGACCCAACCCCTCCCTCCCTCCCCCTCAGAACGTAAAAATTGTTGACATATACATACAGTCATATACAACAAAAGTCGCAAGTGTGTCATTGCTCCTATGGCCATGTACATGTATCGAACTTTTCTGAAACGAAATTGGTTAAAGGGGAAGTCCGGTGAAAAATTTAAATTTCAGGTTCGGTAGAGTTTCGGGCGCTGAGTCGAATGGTGTTGGTCCCACGTGTCTCCGACAAAGCGTTCTCGAGATATTTCCGTTTGAAAAACTGAGTTTCGGGGGCTGCGCCATGACGTCATGCGGCCGCGCCACACCCTCTGCAACGTCATAGCGTGCAGCTAGGTCAAAAGGAGTGCGTGAAAGCAATAGTGTCAGTGCTATTTCAAATGATTTGGCGACAGATAGTTTGGTGCAAGCGACCCCGAAGACCTGTAACTCCTTGTGAGAGTGAGGATGCAGCCATGGCTGACCTTCATGAGTTCGGTCTGGGGCTGAGAACCTCGGTATTCAGCTGAAGAAATGGCCACGCGGGCCGGTCAAGAGTGAGCGCTACTGAGTTTCCGACTGATGAAGAAGCAGCAGCTATTGCAGACGAGGCTGATCAGATCGCTGGAGAGCAGGGTCGCCAAAATGGAGAAGAGTGATGCGAGTGCTCTAAATGTTGTTCCATACCGATTAGATTCGCTTAGACTCCAGTAGCCTGCCACATGGTGATGTTTTGGTGCGAACTAACTTACTTGGAATATTTCGGACTACTCAATTGGAGAACAGTGCAGGCTCTTTGAACCACGGGCACGACTCTTCGCTCGCAACGCTATGGAATCTGAAAGTTCTAGGTCCGGGAGCTGTTCGCTGTTTTGTCACTTGTCACGGTTGTGCACTCATCGCTGTAACAGAAAATAATGAGGCGGGTGCGGAAAACTAAAATTTTCTTTCTCAAAGCACAACCACCGGCACCGGCAAGGAGAAACGCACGTTCTCTGACTACATCATACATGACTGAACAATACGACTGATACGAGTGTACATGACAAGTCCGTGTGTTGACTAGTTTTCTGAGTCTTGTGTCAGTTGTGACTCAAGTCTTGTACAAGTCATACTACCCCAGAACGGCAGTGCGGGAGTAGTTCCGTCTGTGATGAGTTTGTTGACTGCACTACAGCTAGATAACACACTGCACGCACTGCATGCACGCAGCGCAGAGCGCGTAGAGGCTGACGGAAAAGTCCAACTCGGAAACGGCTATAATACGGTATAACCTCCAGGTTTACCGAGCTGAAAATCACAGGGTACGTAGTGTTTGTAACACTGAATCGAATGGTCTTGGTCCGAAGAAGCTGCGACAAACGGCTCCCCAATCGAACGCGCTCCGAATATGGCCATTTTTGTACACAACTAGATGGTGTGGCTACCTGGCTGCACGCTGTGACGTCATCACCTGGATCTGGGTGATGTGCGCTCAAATTCGCACATGTTCGATTGGGCGTATCTGACGAACCATAAGCCGCAGCCTCCTCGGACAAAGACCATTCGACTCAGCGACCCGAACTCTACGGACTGTGAAATTTAAATTTTTCACCGGACTTCCCCTTTAAGGTGGCTCACACCCTCTGCGCGCGCATCGTTTGAAAAGTGTAGATTTTCAGTAAATTTTTCGGTAGCGATGATTTTTGTGCGATCAATCGTTGCAGGAAACGTCTTCTCGCTTTTCTGCAATTCTGGCGACCTAGCTAGAACCTGCTGCTAGTGTCCCTCTTCACTCGTTCTTTCTATGAAAGGGGAAGGCAGCACTCGCAGAAGATTTTCCAAGAATGCAATGTCGACTGGTGCTCGTACTATAAGAAGGGAGAAATCAAAGTCCGCTCTTGAATCACGCCTGAGTCTTAGAAAATTATTTCAGAATACGCTTGTGTAGATTTCCTGCCAGTGCCACTGACATCTCGCGACCTTCAAATATAACTTGCTCGATCATCTCCCGCACTGACTGGTAAATTCGTCGGGTAGCTGTGGATGGATCGATTCAGGGAGATCGAAGGTAAATACATCGAAGCACTTCAAACACGTTTCAAGACGCACTTCAAATTTTGTAATTGTGTCTTGAAAATTGTTTACAACAATTCGTACTTCAATACGCTGTTGAATTGTATCCTCTGCTTGGGAGTCTCGACTGTTCTATTGCTGCATGGCTTTCCTCAACACCGTTCACTGTACATGTATCGCGGAACGCAGATTGGATGGCATTGGAGTTGAATTTGATAATTTGTGACTGTGTCATCAACCAAGTGAGGACATCAAATATCAACAGGGACGTTCCGAAAATCACAAACGCTGCGAAATAGGTATGAAATGGTCTTACACACTGGTGGGTATTCCACATTCATTGTGTCATATCTTTAGACTGTTCGAAAGTTTGTCGTGCCGTGCAACTTTCACAGACTAATCCGATAATTGGCATGTGGCCCTATCGGCACACACTCATGCGTATGCCGCTGAGTCTATCTATGTGTGCACGCACATGTGTGTATACTTACACAATTTTATTACGTATGCAAAATTAGGCAATCTACATGTACATATATATGTATATAAATGTGTGTGCACTCACTCCTATGACATAGAACGACAGTGCAGGCTATGTAGAGTCGCACGAATGTGTGTTACCCGGGTGTGTATATGCATGCGCACTCGCGCGGGCGTTTTGTGTGCGCGCCTGGCATGGCATAACGCCGTTCAATATGACTAGTGTTCAACCGTGGTAATTTGCCCCACCCCTTCTTTTTTCTATTGGCGTTGGATATGCAACTAATGACATAAACTCGGTTGTTGAAAACGAGTGCCATGCACCACAATGGATTGACAATAATATAATACAAGTAGCGCTGTAAAAGCGCTGGTAATACTCATGTTCCAGCCATGGCAGTTGTGATTAGCTTTCCAAGTCAAGCCTGCTGCAGAAATTATTGCACTCTGACCAGCTGGAGTGGCCCAGGACTGCAGGTTGTGGAGAACAGGAGTGATGCTTGTATATACGCTTGTATTTACATGATGGACTTCGAAGTAACGTTAGGTGTATTACTTGTATGTTCTTCTGCCTGTGCACGTGTACATGTGCTGGTCAGTGTGGAACCGCCATCCATATCAGATCATACAGCTCAGCTGCTATCAGTCTCAACAGCTTATATCTGGCAAATAGGGTTTTAGTGACTCAATTTTGCTTACTGTGTTCAACAGAGTGGCATTGCACACAGCTACTTTATGTAATAGTAGCATCTTGGAAATTTTATATTTTTGGTAGTTAGCTTCAGTAGAAACTTCTCCAGTGTGGCTCTTAGCTTCATTACCATGGAGACTAAGCATTCAAGTAATGCACGAAGAACAGTGGCTAGATGCGAAGTGAAAAGCCATTGCACCGTACCCAATGGAATACGCATTTAGTATAGCAGTATTGCTTGCTATGTTGGCAGCAAACACTGTATAATAATAATTGCATTACCAGTAGAAAGTGCCCAATGTGCATTGCTTCAGCACTGTGTTTTGGACAAAGCAGTCAAAAAATTCCACATCAGTATTGGCTTCATGTTGGAGAAAGTTGTGAAAAACACTAGAGCATACATGTACACTCAATACACATGCTCAGCTACATGTATGGCATTTAGTATGTGGGCGACTTCAAAGTTCTATTTTGGTAGTTAGCTTCGGTAGAAACTGTCTAAACTTGATCCAAAGCTCTACTACTATGTTCTGAAGATGTTGCAATCAAGTAATGTAAGACACGTATCTGCCGCATTGGAGCTAGTTGTGAAAACCTTTAGACCATACACACAATGCACATGCTCAGCTATGGCATTTAGTATGTGGGCGACTTCAAAGTTCTATTTCGGTAGTTAGCTTCGGTGGAAACTGCTAAAACTTGATCCAAAGCTCTACTACTATGTTCTGAAGATGTTGCAATCAATTATTGCAAGATACGTATCTGTCATATGGTGGAGTCAGGGGTTCAAAGGCGTTGGACAATGTCCCAGTGCAATGTGCTGATTCTTGAAAATATGGCATCACTTGACACTTCAAAGTTTTATTTCAAGAGTTACCTTCGGTAGAACCTGCTCAAACTTGCTACACAGTACCATTATTAGGTTATGATAGCATAACCATCGAATACAGGGCTAGTCCAGTGTCAAATACTTGTGGGCGGGGCTAATATGTGGGACGTGTGCGCTGAAATGGGATGATTCCGAAAAGAGAAAAAGGTCACCTTCTAGCAGAATTCTACCCACTTCTAAAGCTTATGCTGGTATTTAGCAAGTATACTACTGTTCTGATGTTGGACATCAAGAAAAATGGGGTAACTACGAGTGCTACGGCCAAAAAAGTGGTTTTCCGGTGTTTTTTGGCCTA